ATAGTATTAATCGTCTTAGAAGGCAGAGTCTGGGAGTGTCACATTTATGTTTTTTAAGCTCTTATTCAAGGATTTTGAAATGTGCCCTAGGATGACAGTATATTTCCAAAATAAATACAGTAAAATCCCGTCATAGTGGACTCGCTCATAACGGAATATCGTTTATAACGGACGAGGTGTGCTGGTCCCGGCTGTGCGGCTTTCTGAACATGCAGAAAAAGCATCGGATATAGCAGACTTGCATAAAACCGAATTTCACTTATAACGGACAAACAATTTGGTCCCCAGGACTGCTTTTAGCTGTAGTTTTGTTTGGCTATAACGGGCACGCAGGCTCCGCCTACAAGGCACGTGGCGTGCCGGTGATATCCAGTGCAGATACTTAGTCGGGATTATTAATATTCACGGATCTGCTCAGGTAAACTTGGATTACTACATGTACAATATAATAATCTATACCACAAGTGTGTCTGCTGGGGTGTGGCATGAGTAAATGGTGTCCTGTAGTTGTGTTCTGGGCATATAGTAACTCTGGACATAACTGACTTTGGATATAACAGACTGTTTTGCCAGGTCCCTTGAAGTCCGTTATAAATGGATTTTACTGTAGTAAGAAGCAGAGTGATAATTACTGGTTTAAAATCCCACTATTTGAAAACATGGAAAATGGTGTCCATCAAGGTTCTCTACTGGGACCGGTCATCTTTACAGTTACTGTACATAAAGACATTTAATACCAGAGTCTCAGAATAAATGACACAGTGTCATTTATTGTCTGTGTACTAGGGAGTCTCTAGCAGCCAGAACCAAATTCCTTGTGTGCCCCAGCACATTTGGCGAAATAAAGCTGATTCTGATTCTCAAAGGTGATTATACTGCTGTTTATTTTTGTGCTGCAGCCCTGGATCAAGGTCTTCAAGAGATTCATTCTGTCTTTATGTATTTCATGTACCTCGCCGCCTTTCAAATGTATGAAAAATTTGTCTTCTCAAATTAAAAAAAAAAAAAAAAAACATTTTAGTCTTTTGCTGTGTGGTTAGGGTGGAAACCCCATGTTGGTCTGAAATGAGCTGCTGTTGTTCTTTTTTACGTGTGCAATACCGTATTTTCAAGAAGTTTATTGTAAAAGTTTCCATCTTTCCATCCAACTTGTCTGGTTCTGGTGTGTTGTTTAATTTTTTTCTTGTGTGCCTGAGACATTCTGTTTGTATCCCAATAGCCTCCCAGGAGATTTTGTTGTCTCAGTGGGTTTTTCCTGGAAAAGGAAAAAAAGGTAACATATGGCAGAATTGACAGGTCATGTTGAATGAAGGTCATAGAATATAAATCTGCCAGAGGCATAGCAGTTATTTGTGTGGCAAAGAAGGTCTGGATAAAATATAATTCATAAAATGTATGATAATATTTAAAAGAAATCTGGTGCATTCTCTCTAGAAATGCCCAAGTTGCAGTGCTCAGTTTTGCATTTTGAATAATGTACTTGGGGCTGTTACAATCATGAAATTTTAGTTGACGATTGTCATACAAATAACTGCGATTGATGATTTAATTGTCTTTTTCTGTTCATTCAACACTATCAGCCTAGACCCTAATCATAGTTTAATATTAAATATACACCTCATGAAGAACTGAATATTGAATACTCATGGAACATATAAATAAAAATTGCATTTGCCTTCTAAGCTTTGTAAACGAAAATTATAGAGGCCTGATATGACATTAACAAATAAGTTAAATGTCTCAAGTTAAACAGAACATGTTGTCCCTTCCCGATCCATACCACCTGCACGATTTTACCTCGCACGTTAACAATACCCGATCTGCTCATCCAGCCATTTTAAGACACATCCTATATTGTCTACATTTACAGCAAACTAAACCAGGTAAAATATTGGAACTAGGGTAGTCTGGAGTGAATATAAGTAAACAAAGATAAAAATCCATTTAAACTAGGGTACCTAACATTTGACAAGTTATCCGGCTAAGCAAGAAATTCGGCTTTTTGAAAAATGATACGACGCCTGGTGTTAATAATTCCATTGACGTGAAAAACCCATCCATTTTCTTTGCTTGTCATTTTAAGTGTTCACTCCGGTCGTCTATTTCCAGCTTTTGGATCAACATAATTACCTAAATGTCCTATATCTGAAATGATAATTTATATTTCCATCAGTTGCTGTCGTCCAATGACATGGTATTTTGGTATACATATAGCTTTGGTTTACTCTAAAATGAAATATGTAGTTTGATGTATTTTGTTTTTGTTTCAGCATATTTTTATACAAGGATGGGCATAACTGGTACGCAAGTACGCATTCGCCGTATATGCAAATACATATTTATTTTATGTGCATTTACGTGCAGTAATTTTTTGTCATAACAGCATGAATGTACATAAAATACATATGCATTTGCTATGGAGCCAATATTATCAAGCAAAACTTTTTTGACATCAAGCAAAAACAAGGCTTCGAGAAGAAAAAAACTGAAGCAAAATCTCAAAAGTAAAATTTATAACTTGCAAACACGATTGGTCTTTTGATAATGTTTTCCTTTGTTTACGCTGCCAGCTTTCTCGCTTGCGCTCCCTGGCTTTTCGCTTACTATTTTGACACAAACTTCTCTCGTGGGCGGACATTTTTAATTAACAGCGGGACTGGACATTCACTACCCACTAACTAATTTTCTTTAATTATATAGCAAAGCTTAAATTCACTTCTAATTTAGCACAATAAAATGTATAGTGCAGCACAAACAACATCAACATTTACACTTTGTTAATCTTGATGTCGGATCCAGTAAAAATTAGTTAGTGGGAAGTGAATGTCCAGTCCTGCTGTTAATTAAAAATGTCCATGGCACTGACCTGTCAGTCAAAAACTTATTAGCCAATGGGGACGCGTCCCTAAATAAAAACCCGCCCACGCGAGAAGTTTGTGTCAGAATATAGATATAGTGATAGAAACATGATGGTTCTCTCTCATCCAGAAGACGATTGTAACGATTTATGCAAAAAAATAATCATGGTCAGTTTAAATAATGGCCATCAGGTGAAGTTGTAACATATGATGTAATATATGGGTGGGAGGCATGGTGGCGCTCTGCGTAGTACTGTTACACATTTCCAGGGTAGGGTATCTGAATCCCTGCCTCTGCTCTCTGACTGGAGTTTGCGTGTTCCCCTTGGGACCCACTGGTTTTCTAGGTGTACTGCAGTTTTCTCTCTGTCCAAAGCTGAAAAGGCTAACTGGTGACTCTAAATTGCCTGTAGTGACTGGTATCCCATCCAGGTTCTACCCCAATCTTGGGCTGTGTGTGGCCTGGGATAGACTCCAGGCCCCCCAAGGGGTGGTAGAAAGGTGGCTGGATTAAATATGTTTAAAATAAAGGGTTATCTCTGTAAACATCAATAGAGAGTGATACTGTATCCCTATGATGGCATCCTGCTGTAGGAGTGGAGTGTGAGATGGAGCAGCCATGCCTCTCAGATGGATGCTTTGTAGATTTAGGCCAGAAAAATCCCATTTGCTCCGTAAAACTATACAGGCAGCTAATGAGGTCTGTGCCGGGTCGGTTGGTTAGGTCTAAGGACACCATTGTCCCTACTGGCTTGGACTTGTGAAAAGCTTGGAATTAAAATAGGACCTTGTTTTCTCCGTGGAGTAATAATGATCAAGATCAGGATTTCTTTACAAATAGTGCTTTTTCAAATGGAAATGCTATTTCATACTTTTAAAAAACTATTTTATTTAATTATAGATGTGTTAGTATTTCTTCTTCCAACTGTTTTCTCATATGTTAATTGAAATGAACAAAGCATAAAAACTTTTATTTAGATTTTTTCCCTTGTTTATTTTTATAAGTGTGAAGTCGTGTCATTCCCTTACAGACAGACTCGTTCTCTGTCTTGTCCAGTGGCTCTGGCTGTGCTGGCAGCGTGATGCACTCTGCACACTGCCACTGATTGCCTGGGGGAGCTGCGGCCGATGGCGTCACACGTGCCCCCCTTTCCTATCTCTGTGATTAGCGTTTCTGTTTCATGGGGCTGCCAGTAGAAGACGAAGTAGCTTAATTCTGCTCTGTTTGGGATTGTTAATGTTTGTGGCCCTTTGGGATTTTATTAATTCATTTATTGTGTGGGGAACAGTGAGCCAAGAGTGTCTGCTGTATCTGGACTCTAACACTTTTTAATGAGCTTATTTTTTATGATGATTATAGATCTAAATATGCCGACACATTGTAGCCTCATACCTTCAAGACTGGGGATTGCTAGTCCGGCTGCCACTCTATCTGTGCAGAGGCTAGTTGCAACCTCTGAATTATGAATATGTGTGTGATATATGATGAATGGACATCCAGTCCAGGGTATACCCCCCTGCCCTGTGTCCTGTGTTGACTCCCCCCCCAGGACCCTGCAGTGGACGGGAGGGTGGGAGATCGGCAAATCTCATATGTCTTCATATTTCTGCCATTTTCTAAGTCCTGTTTCTTGCAAAATGTAGACAACTCATAGGCAAGCTTAGACCATCGCCCCCTTCCCCTAGAGCAACTATACTCTCCACGCTAACCTTCCTCTTTGTCAAGTCATTTTCCATGTGTGTTTTACAGAATAAGGTACTAAGATACAGAACAGCAGACATTACACAAGCAGTAAAGGAGCCTTCTCGGCTGAAACACGATCCTCTGCCAGTCTGCTTTACGGGCAGACCCCGGGATTCGATGCCGCACTTAGACACACCACCCTACCCCTCTCCGGCATGTCCACCATGACTGACAAACTCTGTGTGTGTTTGGGACCTTTTAATTTGCATTGCTGCAGATGGCTTAACTGAATATCCAGCTGCTTAATTGCTTAAAATTTGAGACTTTCATTGAGCCAACTTGGGCAAAGGCGTCTACTTTAAAACCCAATTACTGTAATCTTCTCTCCTCTTTGCCTCGACTTCAAGCCGCTGTGGCCTGATTTTCTTGACTGTCTTTTTTTCTCCCTCCTCTGACAGAGAGGTTGAACCGTGGCTGCCTCTCCCCCCTCTGCATCTCGCCCCCCCCTTCCTCCTCTGATGGACCGCATGAGGAAGATTAAACGGCAGCTGTCCCTCACGTTGAGGGGGGGTAACAGTGGGGACAAGAGTCTGAGCGAGACCATCAGCTCACAGGACACCGCACACAGTGATTCGGGTACAGTGGACAAAACACTACATAATAAGATTGTTGTGGGTATTCTGCATACTGTGACGCTGCTGCAGTAAATAAAACATGGTGTATTGTGGCACTAACCCTGCATTGTGACACCACTACAGTGCTTGCAGCACTGCACAATGTCACCCCACTACAGTAAATAAAACATTGTACATTCTGACACCACTACAGGATATACAGCATTGCATGTTATGAGACCACAATAAGACATACTGCACTGCATCTTGTGATACCACTACAGGACATGCAGCCCTGCACATTGTGACACTACAATTTAACACACCACACTGCACATTGTGACACCACTACAGGACGTACAACACTGCACATTGTGACACTGTATATTCGGACTCTGCTACATGGCACGATACAATGCATTGTGACTCAACTATAGGATATGTGACTCTGCAGTAATAATGCTGTGCATTGTGCCTCTGCTCCAGAAAATAAAACTGGAAATTGTGACACCACTGCAGTAAAAATAACATACTTCTAATTGTGACTCAGCTACAGTTAATAAAACTACTCATTGTGACACTGCTACAGGACATACTGTACTGTGATGGATGCAGTACATGCATCGTGGCACCTATTCAGGGACGGTCACCTAAGGCTTCAGTGTGAGGATGCACATTGAACTGTGTATGTTGTGACAAATGCAAATGAAAAGCCTACCCTGACTCTGCACTGAAAATATCATGAACTGGAGCCCTCTGTAATGGGCATATGGACTGAATTTAGAGAGTTATGAGAGGTTCTTTTCTGTACTGTGCCTGGAGTGTTTCTGGTCAGTCAGAGAGCAGTCCAAATAAAATTCCAGTTCATTTTAATGTTTCATTTTATGGGCAGCAGCTGCTATAAAATTACATGGATTATAAAATTTAAAAACGGAGATGTTTGCTGCCATATTCTTTCAATATTAATAGATTTCCAAGTACCAGATAATACAACGAAATATAATGTGCACATTATGCAATAAAGTATTATCATATGGCATATAATGTAATAAAGTACAAAAATACCATATGTAGTTTACAATGTCGTTTACAGATTAACAGTATGTTATAGTCTATGATGTAATATCAGACTATATCTATAAGTGAGAGCAGATTTCTTCTGCACATTTCTGCTGGTGGGGTCTGCGCACTGTTTCGTTTAAGGTCATTTCTCATGGCCTGAGTTTGCGTATTAAATGCCACCTCACAGGGTATCTGTATGAGTGGTTGCGGGATGGGGGGGGGATTGTCCTCGGGTTAGATGCCACGCCCACCACCGATCCCTGGGGCCGTCAAACACCATCAGCAGATCTAGTTCCTTGCAGATATCATAACGCTGTCCAGGCCACGTGTCGCGGCACCTGAAGGTGTCACGTGACCATATTCATGTATTAGACACAGTACAGATATCACGGACCACTCGAGTGTCAGTTCCCACAGCATACATTCCAATTTGATGTGGCGATTTTACCGGAGCTGGCAGTTTGGCGGCTGCATCTGGAAGCGTGTGTGGGATAGCAGAGCTCCACCTTCCCGCATGCCGACTCCTCCTTTTTCTGTTAACCAATCGCATGTCGCCTCCAGCATGGTCCCTTTCTGCTCATACACTGGCTGCGTTGGTGGCTCCTTACTTTCCATTCTCGAGGTTCTTGCTTGTTTGAAACAGCTTCAGTCTGTGCTGACCCCTCCCCCCCCACGTCTGGGATGGGGGGGATGGCTCAGTTAAGGCCCCGTGCCCTGCTGCTGTCCCTAACGTCCCGTGACGGAATTGTCTGCATCCTCAGATCAGCGCTACCAAAACCTCATACATTTTAGGAATGTTGGCCTCAGGTGATTGGGAATAAAGATGTTGACTAATGCAGCGGCAGAGCTGGGGAGGTAAGCGTGGTCAGCGCCTACCAGGCGCTTCAGTTAAGCGGGACCGTAGCGCAAACTTTATAACCAAGTTAACCGCCTTTTAAAGCTCTCATACTGAAGGTGTTCCCTGCAAATAGACCCTGTTTTAATTTGTCCTTTAATTTTGATTTTACGTTTAAGGGAAGCTAAAATCACGCTTTCAGAATAGAGTGTTGGGATTTTTGCTTCCCTGTTATATTCTTTGTTTTAAGTTACTTCTTTTTTGTTTCTTGTCTTCCCCCTTCCTCTCCTATTCCTCCCTTTCTTCCTCTGGACCATCCCACTCTTTTTGTCTTTCCTCCTTGCCTTTGTTCTTCTCCTCCTCTTTGTTCATTCCTGACTCCGCCTTCTCTCACAATTCTCTCATCCTTGTGGCCCCGCCCTTCTTGCTTTGTGTGCATCGGCATGTGTTTCCCCTCCTTTCCCTCACGTGGCCCCTCCCTGGGTGTGTTGCTGTGCCCTTACCACCACCACCCCCCCCCATACACTACCCACCTGCCCACCCTTGTCTTCAGTGTCTCTCTTTACCCTCTTTACTGTCCCGGCACCCTGCCGCTAACCCCTCTCCCCCCCCCTCTCTCTTCCCCCTCCCCACATCTTTCCTATACCCTGCCCTGCCCTCACCTCCTTCCCGTTCTCCCCCCTGCTCGCTGGCCTCCCGCCGTCCCCCATCTACCCCTCCCCGACCCTTCTCTCCCCCAGACGCCATGTCAGTGCGGGGCAGTGGCGGTGTGCGGGGCGCAGTGCGGGGCGCAGTGCGGGGTGCTGGAGGCTCCTTCAGCATGCACTCCCTGCTGCAGTCATACAGCTCCAGCCTGCACCGACCCCGTGGCCTGGGCCGCAGCCTCAGCTCCTATCTCAACCACGCTACACGCCTGGGTACAGCACACTCAGCCACATGTGGCGGGGGGGTTGGAGTGAGTGCCTGTGTGTGTGCATGCGTGTAGGATGTCAGAGGGCAGGGAGTACTTGTGGAGCCACACAATCAGTTAAATCCTTTATAATAGGAATAGGCCGATCCACATTTTTTCAGTTCCGATCCGATTCCGATACACAACTGCCAATACTGATACAGATTCCGATACAAGAGCTCTTTTTACTTTGTTATACTTTATAAATTAAATTTTTAAGCTAGTAAATACAGATGGAAAAAAATGTATGACAAAAAAATATTTAATTAGGCTACTACAAATGAATATAACGTACTGTTTCACCTCGTTTGTACGTCTTGTTTTAAGCGTTTTTGAGGCATTTGCAGTTCAATATGAATATCTTCAAAACAAGTATACACAAGTGGCGAATGCTTAAAATTTTAACAATTTTTCTCCCATTGCCGTCAGCTCAGTTACACTTTGTTGCGATGGCAGCCACTCTTGTAGCACAAGCTGCAGCGAGTTCGCAAGACAGTCCAGGTTAGCGACTCCCACCTCTCAAAACTTTATTTTACAAAGATTGCAAATCGCTGTGCTGCTGGTTTCTGTTAAAAGCGTAAAATTCTCCCAGATCATCACGTCTTATCTTACGCTCCTCGTACTGCGAAGGGTATGCGCATGACGTCACAGCAGGCGGAAGTCACTACTCACACCCACTGAGTAGCAAAAAAGACTGAGGGGCAGCGATAGCATTCGATTTGAATGCCACAAAAAAACATGTAAAATGGGAAAGAGCTGTCGTGCGATTGATTGTACAAATAGATTTAACACGAAATAGGAGCTATCTTTTTAGAGATTGCCAAAAACTAAATAAGTAGGTATAGGATGTGGATCGGTCACGCGTGGCCGATCCCCGAATCGTCAGATAGGTCTGGATCGGCGCATCTCTACTTTTATAACTAACTAATGGGTGGGAATGAAGCCTCTTTATTTGGGGTTTTCATTACACAGAAAATCAGTTTCAGGGAGTGGATATGATCACCGTGTGTGTAAGAGTGTGTATTGTGTTTCCGTGGGGGGCACAGGTTGTTGTCAGAGGTCATGTGTTTATCTGCATCTTTCTGGGGCACCACCTACTGGCATGCTGAGCTCTGTGTCCTGACTTTGTGTGTGTGTGTGAGAGAGAGAGAGAGAGAGAGAGGGAGGGTGCTGGCAGGACATGCCCCTTTTCTAACTGGGTGATTGTTGTATGTCCAGAAATAGTGCATGAGGATGTCAAGATGGGCTCGGATGGGGAGAGCGACAAAGCATCTGCCACATCCTCCGATGAAGTACACAGTCCGGTCCGAGTTAGACTGAGGAACAACCCAACCCGCAAGATCTCCACAGAGGTGCTTATGCTGGATCGCGCATGCACACATACACACATACACACAAGTAGTATCCTGTAGATCTTAATGTAGGGGTTGGTGGTATTCTCAAAAAAAAGTTAATGTAGAGCATGATGTTGGGGTGGATGACGGGTGATATTCTGGTGAGCACGATGTGGATGGTGATGTGCTGCAAACATGATATAGGGAGTGAGTGGTGTTCTCTTGTAGAAAATGATGTATGGAGTGGGTGGTGTTCTCCTCTAGAGCATGATGCATGGAGTGGGTGGTGTTCTCGTGTAGACGGTGAAACAGCTGAACAATGGAGCATGCAGTATGGCTGGTGTCGTCACCTGACATCAGACTTTCATGTGGATACTGAGGCTGGACATTGCCGCCTCTCCTCCGTTTTCCCCTGTCTGTGGTGTAACAACCTGTTTGTGTTTCATGGGATGTGTCATGGGCCTGAGCACTAAAGATTGGAAATGGTGATCTGATGGGTATTACTCCACACTGACAGAGAGAACTGAGCTGGGAATCAATGGCTTGTAGACATAAAAGTAGTTTTGTTGAATTTTTTTAACTTATTGAACATTTTATTTAGATTTTTTTATTATTGAGTTACTTAATCTACTGCAAAATGACTAAATATGCTGTTTAATAATAGTAATAATCATAGTTCTAATTGGACATTTCTCGTCTTCTCTTGGGACTGTTCTTGCTTGGTGATTTTGGAAAACAGGTTCCCAGCACTTGCATCAAGAAACTTCAAACGCAAAGTGCACATTTAAAGGGCAAATTTGCTTGTATAAATGTGTGGCTTGTTTAGATCTGTGTGTTTCACATTTCTGGAGGCCCAAAGAAGATTAGATTACAGCTCCAGGAATGGTTCTGACTGGTCTGAGTCCGACTGGGGATATGAACAGCCTTCAGTTAAAGGAAAGCCCAGGTGTCAGATCCAGGTTATTCATGACCAGGTGAAACTATGAGATTGTACTTTATTTTGTTACTTATGGTTAAGGTTAGGGCTGGGTAGTGGTAAAAGCTGTCATCGTTAGGATTAGGGTTATGTCCATAGACATGAATGCGGAGCGGTGTGTATCTGTGTGTGCGCAGAGAAAATGTGGTTCTGCCAGGCTACTCAATAGCTGAGATAACTTAAAGTGACATTCTCGCTGCAGGGACGAGCGCTCTCCACTCTCTATCTGCCTGTAAATTAAACCCATGAGTGTCACGCAGTGTCCCCGCTGCACTGAGCTTAACAGCACTATAGGCCAGAAGGAGTGCAACTCCATGTTACATCCAAAACACCCACATATAATACAGCTTTCATTCTTAACACTAATGGTAATTTTTCGAAGTGCATGTAGCCATGATGCTGATAAAAGGTTTTTTTGTATAACTGCCTTTAACTGTGAGCAAGATTGTAAATTCCCTTGTATTTTTAGTCCTGCTTTGGCGAGACATTATTGTTGTAGTTCATTCATACATCAGACTTATCTACATGTTGGGCCGTGCTGGTGTTTGTCTGCAGGCTGCCGCGGTGCTGTGAGCTGCCTCACTGCTCGAGCTCCTACCCCGTTTCTGCGGTCATAGCCACTGAGTCGGCTTCCCATGGGCACCACTGCCTCTCTGCTCTAATCCTCTCCTCCTCCGCTCAGGACATCAACAAGCGTCTGTCGCTGCCAGCAGATATCCGGCTACCCGACAGCTACCTGGAGAAGTTCAGCCTGAACAGTCCGCTGTTCGACAAGCCACTGAGCCGCCGGCTGCGGAGGGTCTCCCTGGTACTCCCCCACCGCCCCCCCACCCCCAGCCCCAACCCCAGCTGTCTATTGCACACGTGCTGAAGGTCAGAGTCGGGAGCCAGTGCTCCTCAGTGGGATTAGGCAAACATGGTCTCTCCTGTGGGCCATCCTTCTGCATCAGTGGATGCCGCGGATATTTCATGTGCAAATTTATACTGCAGCTCTGGGCGTTTTTTGGCATAACGAGTAAATATAAGTATGTAAGGAGATGATGGACATGGGAATAGCACAGCGCCGAGAGGGGGGCCTGCAGCTGCTAGTGAGAGCAGGAGGCTTCGCTGAGACGTGGACCTCCTCCATGTTAAATAACCAACATTGAGCTGTAACTAATGAACATGCCAGTTGGATTCAGATGTGATTAGGAGCAGGAAGAGCGCAAATAGGCAGTTTTTTTTTTTTCCACTGTCACACAGACCAGCCGTGGAGGGATGATATCGACAGGGCACAGATATCTTTGGGGAACTGCCGCTCGTGAATTGACAGGCGAATGGTGTGGGATTGATTTCTGCTCGTGCAGTCTGCTCTTACCATCTGCGCTGTGTGCTGTTTACAGTCGGAGATCGGCTTCGGGAAACTGGAGACCTATGTCAAGCTGGACAAACTTGGAGAGGTATGGTGTGTCTGCTGCCATCTCTGCGTGTCTGTCTGTCAGATTGATAGGGCGTGACTCTGTATGTGGGATTAATCAGGTATTACACTTCTTGTGTCTGTGTGTCTTTCTGTTTGTTTCAATTCCAGGGGACCTACGCCACTGTATACAAAGGCCGCAGCAAGCTGACTGACAACCTGGTGGCCCTGAAGGAGATCAGGCTGGAGCATGAGGAGGGGGCTCCCTGTACTGCCATTAGAGAGGGTGGGTCCTCTTTACTCCACTCGCTGTTGTGCATTATGGGACGGCCTGAGGTTGAAGTGGGAATGACCGTTATCCTCTCTCACTCTCAGTGTCCCTGCTGAAGGACCTGAAGCACGCCAACATTGTGACTCTGCATGACATCATCCACACACAGAAGTCCCTCACGCTGGTGTTCGAGTACCTGGTGAGTCACGCGCGGAGAGGGAGCACTGCCAGGTGCAGTGGCCCCCGTACACAGCTTCCTGCTGCTTCATCTCCCCACCCCCACCTGCTCCTCTGCAGCCATGCCATGTGATTGCTCGCTCTCTACGTCAGTAGTCCCATGTATTTGTTGCAGATTTGTTGCAAATTGTTGTTAGCTGATAGTGATAAAGTCCCCCACTCACCCCAGGACAAAGACCTGAAGCAGTACCTGGACGACTGTGGCAGCTGCATCAACATGCGTAATGTCAAGGTGAACCACTGCCTGAGGATCGAGCATTCAGCCAGCCCCTGTGAAACTCATGGCATGCTGGGAAAAAACAGCCAGTTCATGTATCACATGTTGCTATGAACACACAAACATCCATAGACTGCTAAACCACCACTGCAGCCTTTTGGTGCTTATTTAAAGTAACAGGTTGCCCTTAGTAGGGTCACATGTTCACCGTGTGTGGGGTCGGCCCCGTGACCGACCCCACGTGCTTCCCCAGCTCCCAGGCTGCGGCTCACATCTCTGCTCCTTTCCTCAGCTCTTCCTGTTCCAGCTACTGCGTGGCCTTAACTACTGCCACGGGCGCAAAGTCCTCCACAGAGACCTCAAGCCCCAGAACCTGCTCATTAATGAGCGCGGCGAGCTCAAGCTGGCTGACTTTGGTCAGTGCCGCCTGTCCCCCTGTCTGTGAGTCTGTCTGTCCGCCTGTCTGTGTCTTTCTGTCTGTGAGTCTGTCTGTCCGCCTGTCTGTGTCTTTCTGTCTGTGAGTCTGTCTGTCCGCCTGTCTGTGTCTGTCTGTTTGTGAGTCTGTCTGTTCGCGAACATCTGTCTTAGTCTGCCTGTCTCTCTGTCTGCCTTTCTCTGTCTGGCCATCTGGACTGTTGTATGTCTTTTTAACCTATGATTTAATTATTAATGTTTTTGTCCCAACATAGTTGATGTCTCTGTGTGATAGTGCTGCTTTCAAAATATTCTTATTGGATGTCGCAGAATAGCAAACAAAACCAATAAAATTTTATAGATAGATCTTACACGTCATGTGAATGTTCCTATTCCAGTACTGGGTCACAGTGAGCCTGGAGCCCCCCCCAGGAAGCACGGAGACAGACGGGGGCCACCATGGACAGTGCATCACAGGGCACACACACTAGGAGCAATTTAGACAGTCCCTCCAGGATTTTGTGATTCTGCGTTTGCAGAAATGAACGCAAAAGGAAGAGGCTTCAGTTTTTCAAATTTACCACAGCTTTTCCATAAGGAATGGCCAAATCAACAGATTGCTGGCATTTGGAACCTGACTTGTCCATGCAGTGCAGATTCATGTGGGGTGTGGCTGGGCTCTGCTGCGGGGAAGATGAGCACTGCAAACATCTCATTTACCAACAAATTGAGACAGTATATAGAGCACAGATGAACATAATCCATGTAAAACAAAAAACGGGCACTTAAACTATACTTTATTTCTTTCAATGTATTTACCTGATGTATGACTGATTTTATTTGCTGCTAATGTTGAATTGAATTTGTTTTACTAAGGCTTAACTAACTGGAACCAATCTTATTTAGCCACAACAATCACAAAACATGCTCTGAAATCGTATAGGGACCGGTTTGGAGATGCTGATTCATCTCTCTGGATGCTGTTCGGCTAGCAGGAGGTGTACTTGGAGAAAACCTGCATGAACTCTGCGACATGATATTAACTGTACACATACAGATCAGGGGGCAGCTAACTACTGAGCTACTGTGCCACTAGTATGCAAACACATTGACTGCAGCAGAAAGATCCTAAACTTGCTGTGCTCCAGAAAAATGAATGGGGTGTGTGTGTGTGTGTGTGTGTGTGTGTGTGTGTGTGTGTGTCACATGGGGGTCCACTGGTACCCCACTGTTGTTGTATCATGCAAGTCTTGTCTGAAGGTGTTTAGAGTAAATAGCTTAAAGAATGTAGGGAATCTGGAGTGATTTCCTGTTTAACATTCATATCTCTGTAATAGCCAGATATCTGGCTTTCTGCAGCCTTTGAAAGGTTGCCCACCGTGGGGCTTGCTGGTCACTGAGTACCTTATGGTCCCTTCCTTTGTGTTTCAGGCTTGGCGCGGGCCAAGTCCATCCCCACCAAGACCTACTCCAATGAGGTGGTGACGCTGTGGTACCGCCCGCCGGACATCCTGCTGGGCAGCACTGATTACTCCACCCAGATAGACATGTGGTGAGGCTCCTGGCCACAAATTGGATTGGCTGTGGATGTTTTCTTCTTAATATGAAAATCCTAATTTCTGGACTTTTTAAATTAATGTCAGTTTCATCCTCTCTTTCTATCAGACTAACTTATACATTTGTGAAGGTGAGGTACTGTGGTAAAATGAATAAGTTTTCAGATCCTTTCCAAGCCAAAGAATCAAACTGGCACTAATGAGATACCATAGTTTAGTGTAACTGTAGTGTAAATGGAATAGTCTTCCTGCTAGTGTAGTGGAAGCTAAAACCATGGGTTCCTTTAAATCAGAGCTAGATAAGATTTTAACAACTCTGAGCTATTAGTTAAGTTCTCCCCAAACGAGCTTGATGGGCCGAATGGCCTCCTCTCGTTTGTAAATTTCTTATGTTCTTATTTCTTATGTTCTTAAATGGATAGGAACTAAAAATGAAAGGCGGAAGGCAACAGAGAGGAAAGTAAATATGTTTGATTTAGGAGGGAAAAACCTCCAGGTCAAAGGTCAACAGGCTGCCCCCCCCCTTCCAGAGTAGGGTAACAGGGTAGAATATAGTGTGTCTTAGTCCATTCATGCCGTTTGTTGGGTCATCACACTGCCTGTGGCACTCTCTCCATCTTTCCTCCATTTAGTTTGTGTATTTATACACTGAAACAGGTACTTTGAAATGTCTCATTGTCACATGACTGCCTACTCTGCAGTGTAATGGCACTTACAGCGCACGCACGGTTACTTTTAAAGGACTTGGAAGGAAGTCTGAAAGAAGGGGATACTGGGTTTTGAATTTCAGTTGAGTTCATATTTGCTGGCTTGGATTTAGCATAAATCCTGATTCATGTGAATGTCATACTCAAAGCTCCCCCTGGTGGCTCTTTCTGTTTAAGCAGTTATGAGAAAGCACTTTTGTAATGTATTAGCCCATGTACCTTCTAAAGAGGCAGGATGAAGTACTGACACTTCAAGTGTTTCAAGAAAAAAATATTTGATTTGAAGGGGCATAAAATTGCTATTGACAAGAAATGCGTAGGTGGTGAAACACAGCAGTAGTTTTATAAAGTAACAGGCACTTTGTAGAGATTTATAGATGGCTGTAATTGCCGAGCCTCACAGTATGACAGAATGAAGGAAATCATCATCAGGAAATGATGCGGCGCCTACAAAGGCACAACACGCCTTTAAGTAAATCACATGGGTACATGGCTTTCTGCCTGTGTTGTAATACAGGGGTAAATGCGCTGTACAGCTCAGCAGGTTACAGAGCCTGTGTCAGGAAGGTGTTCAAATCCTGTGGTTGGCAGAGCAATCATACCGCTGTTGTCCACTTGAGCAAAGCCAAACTGATGCAAAAATCGTGGCTCTCTCTGCTCCCTGTCCCCAAGCTATCCTCAGTTTACGTTGCCTTGGACAAAAGTGTTTGCTATATGTAAATTGCTGGGTGCCCAGTATTTCGTGAAGATGGCGATCAGTGCCGTCTCTGTCTCTCTCCTTGTCCCAGGGGGGTGGGCTGCATCTTCTATGAGATGTCCACAGGCAGACCCTTGTTTCCCGGTTCCACCGTGGAGGAAGAGCTTCACTTTATCTTCAAACTGCTGGGTCCGTGTTACTCGCCGGCCGACCCGTCTTTAAGTAAACACGGCAAAACCGCCCACGAACCCGTGACCATTCTGTCAGTTGAGCCCTTTTGAAAAGGAGGCTTTGTCGTCTTGCTTGCTTCTTAATCCCCCTGCCTTGGTGACAGTCTTACTGCCCCAGTTGCGTTCCAGCATGGGGTTTGAGCTCTCTGTGTTTCCAGGTACGCCCACGGAAGTCACTTGGCCTGGAATCACCTCCAACGAGGAATTCATCTCCTACAACTACCCCCGCTACAGACCTGACTGCCTGCATAACCACACGCCACGGTGGGTGCTCAGGGCCCCGCTCGGTGCTCAGGGCCCCGCTCGGTGCTCAGGGCCCGCTCACTCCTGCCTGGGCTGCCTCTTCCCTTTGGGCGCCTCTCGCTGATGCTGTGTCTTATGCTTTTTTCCCTTCAGACTGGACAATGAAGGGGTAGACCTGCTTTCCAAGCTGCTGCAGGTGAGGCTGGGCCTGCAGGCTACCCGCCCCTCTCTGCTCCTCCTGAATGCTGCGGTGTGTGTCGGCTAGCATGGGGGGGCTGCCTGCTTCAGTTTCATGCTCCATTTGTGCAGCGTCACGTGTCTGAGTGCGAGTCACTTAGACCTCCCACCCCCTTCCGCGTGGTGGGTGCACGTGCGTCTGCACGTTTCACTCTGACTGCGTACCTCTGCCTTTCAGTTTGAGGGGAAGAAGCGCATCTCCGCTGAGGGGGCTATGAGACAACCCTACTTCCACTGCCTGGGAGAGAGGATCCTCACACTGCCTGACAGTGAGTCTCCCTCCAGCCTGAGAGTAAACTCTCTCTCCGAAGCTGTCACTCCCCGTTACGGTAAATGCCGCTGCAGCCCGGAACGCTCCCCAGCAGGCAGCCCCAGCACTCGACGTGCGCAGATGTTCAGCATGAACCTTCTGAGAAAAAGGCAGCCTCTGCAGGCCTACGCACCTGTCTGTAGTTTGGTTAGTCATACATGTGACCAGGAAGTTCTGTGTTCGGGTCTCCAGAGAGGCTCTGTTTTAAGAGCTGATGTCATCAAGAACGTACCTCTGCAGGCTGCCGTCTGTAAGTGTCTGTGACTGCAAATCGGTCACCATAGACATCAGAATCTTTATCCACCACGTACAATGAAGTACGGAGAATATCTGCCGTGGCCGGGGCCTTCCAGAGCCCTCACTTAGATCGACCTCAGTGTGAAATTCACGCTTCATCCTTCAGACAGCCCGGAACATTCCAGCTGTGAGTTTCAGGGAGCGCCTCTGTCATTAAGTAGCGAGCGGGATGTCTGTCCTCATTCCACAGTTGCTGTGGGTAAGCTGTGTCTCTAATCCTTCCTTTTGTCAGCTACTTCTATTTTTGCACTTCAAGACGTTCAGCTGGAGAAGGAACCTGGCATGCGGAGCAGCTCGCTCACAGACTCAGGTGAGGTACGCACAGCAGCATCATCGGCGGCATGCCGTGCTTCTGGACCCCCCACCCCCCGCCGGCATGCGTGTACCCCCTCCTGAGCTCCCCCTGTAGGCTGCAGGAGTGTACTCCTGGGTGCGACCTCTGCATTTCGCTAATGAGCTTAGCTTGGCTTGGAGGTCCAGCTGCCTCATTTACCAAGCTCAGTTTGAGGGTGTAGGGGGGGCAGCTGGTATTTAGCACATAGCACTTAGGAGCCTTAGTCTGAATATGGAGTGTGACCGTCACCCTTGGACGAAATCTCTCGGTGCATAATGGCCACCTCATGCTTTTTCAGCTCCTATCGCTTCTTTCCTCTCTCTGCTTTCCTGTATCTCCCACTGGTTTCCTGTACTGTCCACCTTCAGATCATGCCCATGCCCCCCCCCTCTGTTTCCTGTACTGTCCACCTTCAGGAACCCCCCCACCTGATTCTGGATTGACTTTCCTTTGTCTTCAATGCATGTTCATGTCCTGGCGTCTTTACAGTTGTGTCACCCAGTTCATTCAGAGATGTCCGAGGTTTCGCCACATTTCACCCTGTCCTCTGCCTTTCATCACGAAAGGGTTACCACCTACTTCTGTGTTCCTCATATCGTACCTGTCCTCTGCACCAGATGGGCACTGCCTGGCACTTTATAACAGAATAAAAATGATAACCATTACGAAAATATTTTTCCTAAGGTTGTGTGGCTAGTATTACATCATATTTTGATCTTTTCCCATAAGTGGTTTGAAGGTATATTTGAAATAGATACTAACCCAATAAATATAAAGTATATTTATTTTTGCATGTATTGTAATGAATTTGTATTTTACTGCAGTGTAGTGATATCGTCATGTTAGGACCTGTAATGAAGGCTTTTCTTCCTCCATAAGTCATCCTTCCTCACACTGCCATGTCCCTAATTAGGACTCTGATGAGTCACGCTGTGGTCTCCTTGCCTTAGGTCTGCCAGTAATGGCCACTGTCACTGTCAGACTGCAGCAGACGGAGGATGCTTTCATGCATCAGTGAGCTGTGGCTCGCAGAGCCATGCTGATGTGCTATTGGCATGCATGGACGCATCACTGCTGCTTGGTGTCTGCAGCTCTCCTGTGGGAATCATTGTTGGCCAATCTTTATTATTATTATCATTAATATTAGTATTATTTTATTTACTTATTTTTGTTGCGAGTGTCCCTCTGGCGTGTTCTCCGACCTGTTCTCTGCCTCTCAATGTGCTATTTGGCCTGCTAGGAGGCGCTGTTGGCTGAGCCTCTGGAGTTGCCCTCAATAGGAGCAGGCCGGTCCCCTGCGGGGCTGTGCCATTTCACTGCAAGCGTGATTATCCACTGTGGCGGCCATGCACAGTAAGCTTCCGGAAAGTTTCCACCTCACGTGGCAGAGAAGATGGCATTGTGGCGATGCTGGAAACCCAAAAAGAGAGAGAGAGATACCGTTCCAAGTACATTACCTTTCAGCAGTATAGAAGATTGAAAATATTACCTCGGGCTTATTCTCTTAAAAAGGAAATCATGGTGGCAAGTGTGCCTTTGTTTGTTTGTTTCTGCATTTCTGCTAATGGAGGTAGGAAACATTCACAAGCCTAACCAAAGACTTAATATGCACCACATTCATTTCTTAGATATGACAAAGTGCAGCTTAAGTAAATTCAGAAAGATTGCAAACATTCATAAACGTATTATATATTTATATCCATCCATCTATCCATTTGCTGTAACCGGTTGTCCGATCCAGGGTGTACATATTTATAAAGAACCACAATTCTTCAGTGTCCTTTTTGCTGTATTGTATAAGATATCTGTACGGAAGATTGAGACTGATTAATTATATTCCTTTTTGCACTGCATGGTTTTATTCAAGTTCTATTTCTCATATACAATCATACAGTGCACTACTATATAGTGAAATGGTTTTCTACCTACTTTCTGGTTTATGCTTTGAGAGTATGCAGTATTTTGCAAAACAGAATAGTATTAAAAAGAGTGGGTAGTTTTCATAGTACTAAAAGGGTTCACTACAAGGCGGATTTTAAAACGCTATGTGAGATTATCTCATGCTTTCACGGGATCTGACCAAAAAGCCAGAAACAATATCTTTCCGTCTTGCCTCTCTGTGGTGTTAAAGAAATGGCAGGTTGGTAGTCATGTCAACAGGGGCCCTTCGTCACCTCCCTGGCGGCCAAAGCTGTGTGCGGCAGCCCTGAGGTCTTTGGTGTTTGTGCGGCTGTCTTTCTGCTCATGGCTTCTCATCCGACAGCCGCATCAGACAGCACCGGGGTCCTTGCCAGAGTTGAACCTGTCCTCCGTTTTGTCTTTGCAGTGAACAGCACATCCAGACGGCAGAGCCTGCTCTTCTGAGTGCCGGATATGTAGAAGAACAAGAAAGCCAGAGTCTGACGGGGATGTTTGTTTTTTTTTTGTGTGTGTAATGAAGGGATGCATATTTACCTTTTAATTTTTCGACCACGTAATGGCTATTTAGTACACAGAGGGTTTATTAGCTGTTTACATGTGAGATAAAGTCAAGGCTGGGGGGGGAACGGGGTTCTACCACTCACCCCCCAGCTCTGCTCAAACTTACATTCAAGTTTACCATGACAATCAACACTTGCGCCATCATTTTCCCTGCTTTTCACACTGATGTACAGCAGTCGTGTGACACTCAGTGGACTGTGGGTGATCGAGCCCAAATAACACCCGTAACTAACGGATCACGACGTCGGTGGTGAGCCCAAAGAGTCGATGTGAAAACGCAAATGAAGCAACTGACAGGCTGTGTGGTGAAAACTTGGAAGGATGGTGACAGTGTTCTGTGTATCAGTGTTAAACGTGGAGGAAAACGTGGTGAAGTCACGTCATGCTAGTACTGTAGACTCCTCACTTCGGTCTTCCTATGTCCCTTCTATTTGGAATGCTACAGTATTTCTACTCATCCCCACTCAAGCCATAGGTAGAGTTTGTAACGGACGGCAATATTTTGTTCCATTGCAGGGTTTTGGCACAGCCTCCTCGTTCTCTCCGTTAGTATGTTTATTGTTGTGATTGGCAATATGCTCACCTGAGAGGCGTGAGTTTCTTCTTCTTTGTCTGTAGTCCTGATTAAGCACAGACCCCCCCCCCTCCCTTTTGGAGTGGCAAACCCATCATGGTTACCCTCCTTGCAGACCTTGCCGGAGAGGCACACAGGTGCCGGTGTATTGCTTACTCTGGAATACTTTCAGGCGGCCACATTTCAGTGCATGAGATCACATGGCTCCCATTGAGCTGCACCCCATGCCAACACGTGCACCATATTCACCCCCTTAGAGGGAGTGCAGAGGCAGTTAAGGTATTTTTGTGCCATGGGGGGGGGGCAGAACTGTGGAAAATACTCAGGATATGAACTGAGATGCCAGGTCACTCACACCATTTGAAAATCTGGCTTAATATACATTTTTCCCCCTGAGGAATCACTGTTTTGACTGTCCTTACAAAAGCATACATTTTTAACATTCATGTCTGAAATTAATATCCCAAGACAAAGACCCCAGTAATTATCAATATATTCCATAACAAAATAATTTTTGTCTCACACTCAAGACTGTTAAGATAATATTGGTCCTAATATATCACATCACCATTAGGTAACCCTGGACTGTAATTCTGTGTTAACCTAAAAACAATATTTTGATGGGAAGGACCCTTTGCTGACAAAGATGACAGTCCTGTTAGTTAATTGGGTTTCAAATGCATGATGGCTGATCTTTCTCTGAATTGGACCTGGGCTGTCAGGCTGTGAGCCACCCTGTCAGAGATGCTGCAGATTTTACCCACGTGATGAACAGCAGGTGTCGTTTTCTGAAGGGTGGGGGAGACTGGGGGAATCTGCAGTGCGGAGAATCCACCCCAGCGAAAGCTCAGCAGGGAATTGTGCAGCAAACGGACCTCGTATCCATGTTACAGTGGAACTATAAAGTATTGTTTTGTTATCGTTGACAGTGATACTGTCATGTTCTTCTTTTAAGGAGAAAATGTTGTTTCACCACAGGATTCCTAACCAGTGTCGGTAATTTTGTTCCATTTGTTATTATTTTTCATCGGATGAAGGCAACAGTGGCCCTTTCGTTTCGGAACACCTTAGGATTCCGGAGGTCACTGTGCGAGGGCAAAAATGGCTGTTTGTGGCTGTGAAATGGCCTCGTGTTTCATGATGCAATAACTGAATTAAACCGTATGACAGAGTTCTGTGTTTATAGGGGATGAACTGACAGCTCTGTAGGTCTGTGTTTTTAGGTGAGTATGAGTATATACAGGAGACGGGGATCAACAAAGCTGAAGGCCGATTTTACCACCCGATTACTCTTGTTTTATAGATCCTGATATTTTGGTATTACTTTATATGTTTTCACTCTGTAAAAGACTGTTTAGAGCCTGTGACACAAGCTTGTAAAATGCTTCTGATGATAAATATGAATAGGCTACATTGTTGTTATAATTATCTTTTTACTTGTGTTGTTCCTTTGAATAGAGTTTTATAAATGGCCAGTTCATATGATCATCTAAAGTGAAGCGATTCACACGTTTTGCATTGCTTATGCATTTTACTTGTTACTGAAGGGATTTTAAATTGGAGTGAGATAATGGCAAGTGGACAGTAACATCTCTGCTGTGCAGCTGTCTGCTCTCCAGCTGCCTCTTCATACTGAGCAAGAGAGGCAGAAAGGGAGGGACAGCAGGCATGAGTATGCAGCATGGCTACTGCATAAGCCTAAACACACGCAATATCATTTCCACACCTTAGGAGCCATAGCAAATCCATTGGGGGGGGACAAAGAATAAATGTTAACCAAGCAAAGCAATATGTAAATGCACATTTGGCAGATGCCTGTGAGAGATGTTTAGCCAGATGTTCCTGTTGGAGGCACAGCAACTTGAAAGGAAAGGGCTGGCTTTTAACTCTGACTACTCATGTTGGACTTCCAGGATACGCACTGTTTGTACCAGTCTAGGACTGGGCCATCTTGTGTTACCGATGCACTGCTGATGTTTTTTTTTTTTTCCCCAAATGGAGGTAAATGAGGATAATCACAATGCTGTTTTATTTTCTGGCAAAATGCTTCTGTTGGTTCATTTCACTGCAGTGTGCCTGCAATATAATACAAAAGGTACTTTTTGCAGCAAATTAACTTTTTTCCTTCCTTGCTCCAGAGTGGAATGACATATCTGGAGCTTGGAAAGTCAAACACATCCCTGATACTTCTCTCTGGCTTTGGTGGTGCTGTAGTTCGATACTCAGAACTACACTCTGAGGGTCACTGTTATGCAGAACTTCCTGTCTGATTGCCCATCAGTTCCAGGAAAGCAAATTGCAAGTATGGGTTAATTGGAACTAAAAAGGGAGTCTGTTCAGAGACCTGATCAACATCAGAGAGATGCACCAACTGACATGTTGAGGGAGTTGCAGGAATTAGTAGACACCATATGATCCAATAATAAACTATTATGTCAAATGGTTGTGTGTAAGGAAAGCTGGGAGTGATTACAGGCATCAGTCAGAGAAGCCTGGATTTCCTGTCAGTGGCATACAAACAAATGCATTCCTTGTTTACATGAATTGATTTCATGGGGCTCAGATCTATTTTATGCTGGTCTTCAACTAACTATGGGAAGATAGAGGATAAATAGTTTCCATTTGCGTTAGGATTATCTTCATTTGATATTCCAGACACTTCTATTTATTGTTCAAGTGAAATGCTTTCATAACTTGAAAACAAGCTGTTATTCACATCATATTTTTAATTATAACCAGATAATGGCAAACATATTTTTTACTATGGTATATATTGTAATTAAAAACTGAAGGTACAGAACATTTTGGATATATATAGGGCACATCAGTTGCTGTGAACAATTATTATAATAGGTGTGCCTTATACTCAAAATACAGGATCAAACCTATATTTTATGTTAGCGATGTACACAATTGGCTTACTCAAACCTCAGTCGTAATTGCTTTATGAATTGTATCAATTTACGTAAAAAATCAACTCCTTTGTAAGCTGCTGTAACTGCTGTCGCCTGGTGGATGCAGCTGCTCATCCACTCTCGAGCAGCCTAAAATCCGTATGACTCTAACTTATTATTGCTACCGGTTTAGAAAGAAACCTGTGCGTTGCGTTTGTACAGTGGAAATTAAGCCTTTTGTGTGTCTCATGTAATTTCTGAAAGTGAATCATTGTCACAACACAGTCTGATACAATAAACATTCGAAGTTGAAACAAATGTTGAAAATATTTGTATTTACAGGATTTCAATAAAAGTTGAACAGACACAATACTGGAAATTCTGTGTTGAACAATTAAATGTAATTTATTGAAAAGCTACGAAATACATATATATAATCTTATGTCCAGTAAATGTGTATTGTACAACAGCTTTCTATCACTGGCTGTTCTTAGCTTTTTTCAAAAGTGTAATACCAAAGTTATCCGCAAGCTTGCATGAGGTCTCCCAGAATTTGCTCAATGATGGACGCTGCCTACAGTTTTTCAGATCAGCTGGTCAACTACTGTCAAGTTGCTGCAATGTGTAGATTACTGTGTTGTGTCCTTATATTAAGAAATATAAAAACATAATTTTTATTACTCTTGAATATATAAACTATGTGAAGACGTTATTCAATGTATTCAAAGTATATTGTTCAATAAAAACGAAGAAACTTTCTGTAAATGGTTTGCTTTTTTCCGTTATTACAAATTATACAGGGTGTACGATTCTGAATTAGGACTAACCAAAAAAGCATTCATTTATAGAATATGTTGTATGCTTCACTAAATGCAGGATTGGACCATGATCAGCTCCTATACATAATTTCCTTTAATATTTGGATACATCTCAAGTCTACTTTAGTTCAGTACAAGCACGCACACAATGACGCTATATTTGTGATTGTGTTCTTATCCTAAAACCATTATCACAAATATTTTATAAACTTACAATATATAGCCATATTTAGATTTTAAAATGTATACTTGAATAAGAATTGGGAAGATACGTGGTGACATAAATGGTTATCGATGTTTTCATGTTTGGCTAGTTTGCCTGAGCGAAATCCATTCGATTGATTAGTCAAGCCTTTATATTTTTTAAAATGGAAGCCTCCTTGCCGTCTACACGTGACGTTTTTACGGAGGCACTAAGAGCTGTTTTGGAGACTTGGCCAGTACTTCAAGTAAGATTCAGGTTTATGATTGCACTGCTGAAAAAAGAATTGATCCATAGAATATGACCCATTTTGTATTAGTAAATTGCCTATCGAGAATGACTGGAAAGTAGCTCGTAAGCTAACGGCTTCTTATCTGTATAATGACAACAACACACGAATTGTTTATAGTTTCTTAAAGTGTAGTATTATGGAATAGGTTTAATATCCAAATACTCATTTGGTTTTTAAAAGCTTTTTTTGTAAATAGACTAGCTGTAAGGTATCGTTTACAATCTGAGGTATTTTATAACAAGCAATTTATAATTTGCTTGTTAAGTAAAATGGTATGGTAAGAATTCATAGTAAGAAGAACTGTGATAATAGTTTAATGAGTGTATTTAAATTGTTTACGAATAATTATGATTCTTAGTTTATTGTTGTTTCACCATAGATCGCAGTGGACAATGGATTCGGTGGTGCGTATAGCAAGCAGAAAGCGGAATGGATGGTCGATGCTGTTCAGCAGTATTTCCAACAAAATGGTACACTTTCTATTGCATTTCCTCAGCATAAACATGTTTTGTGCCTTTTTGTGCTAGATGTTTTGTGGACAGGATTGATTAATCTGGACTGTTATGAGGACGTTTACTGTACTTACCTTATTGATGTGTAAACATGTTACATTCTTTTACACAGAAGTGTGTAATTATCAGTGTGCATCTGTCTGTGTCTGTTATAAAAGGCTGAGACCCTGGTGTACTTCTAGCTCTAAAAGATGATGTCTAAAACCTAGTTCATACTTCACGCTTTCGTGCGCTAGACGGTCGTCCGCGCGGCAGCTTGTGTGTGGAATCTGTGAATACTGTGGATGCGGATGGTTGTGGTCAGCGCATGCGTACTGCAATGATATTCCTCCAGACCAGCAGAGGGCAGATCTTCTAGGTGTGAAAGAAGCTTACGCAAAATTAGGATTACAAGGTTTATAGCCGCAAGTTTCAAGTCTTCTAGGGTTTTTAAAACAATAAAACATTACTTTCTTTTGTAAAACTACTTAACTGATGTCGGTTTTGTCTCACAAACAATTTGGACAGTAAATATGTTTAATACTTACTATTTACCTCTACTTGGCCATGTTTCTCATTGACTACTATTCTGTTCATGTGATAAAGTGTGGTTTTTGCGTAGAAATAAATAATAATCAAGACATAGGTGGAATATACGGAGCCCCTAAGAGGTCAGGGTGGGAAAATATTTTTTTAAATAGTTTTGCTTTCCCTCGCAATAGTTTTGCAATCCTACTACACTTCCCCACTTGCTATTTGCTGCAACTTGACGGCAAGGATAAACCTAAATAATGTTTGTGTGTGCACTTCGCGTTTAATAGCCCAGTTGTCTTGTTTACAGTTACTGGTGGTGAACTGACACCATGCCATTATTAATAAATACGTATAAAACACATATATGAACGTTACACGGTGTGCATTGTCCTCCATAGGTTATTGGTTAAAGCGCACTTAACTGGACATGTACGTATCGCTTAGATTTATACTTATTATTCGATTAATTGTATGTTTTGTACTTTAAACGGACACAGTAGCTACAGTTATTAGTAAAAGAAAACTATTGCGAGGGAGTATAAAACAGTTTAAAAAAATATTTTCTCACTCTGACCTCTTAGGGGCTCCGTAGTCATATATCATTAATCTTGAAGAAATATCAATCAGAAGAGGTTTCCATAGCTATTGATATTTATTATTGTGAGCTGAGCAGAGTGAAGGGCAAAGTTTTTTTTATATATATATATATATATATATATATATATATATATATATATATATATATATATATATATATGTATATGTGTGTGTGTGTGCCACCTACTGGATACGCCTAGACAATTAACTTGCACATGGGTAGTCAGCGTAAAAATCTGGCCTAAATCTGGGAAAGCGCACGCGGAAAAGTATAAATTGGTCTTGTTGGAGTACGCCGTCTCCACCGTGTCCGTGGATGAGAAGAGATTCACAGCTGACACGGGGAGAGGCCGCAGGTCACCAGTTTATTCTCTGACAGATTGCAATCCGGGAGCGGCCATCTGACATACATTCAGCATGTACAGGAGGGAGCTCAACCATATGTATCAGCTGTATCCCTTTTAAAGCCCTTTGGGCATCTCCCCCCCTCTCTCGGTACCTTCCGTCTACGTGACAACCACATGTTTGACATTTGCTATAGTTAGTCGGTTAGTACTTGACCTTGTGGAAGGCTACAGATACGTAAGGGCCGCTGACGTTCTCTGTCGCTCCCTCTATCGGTCCCGATTAGGTAACCATGGCCTGCCGGCGCCAGTCAGTTCTCGTTTCAGTTAACTGCATTTTTTTAGAATGAACCCCCCCCCCCCTTTTCATCATGCCCTGCTTTAAGCTATATTCTCCTTTTCCTCTATTCATTTTATGTTCTTTATAATTCTATTGAATCCCACAGTCTTAAGAAAGCAATTTATGATGACTGCAGGCTCGCTGGTAGAAGGTGGATTTTCTGGCTTCTAGCAGTCATATCACAAGCAACAACACTATAGATACATGGCTGCTTTTCTTGTTTTTGCAGATGACTTGCAACAATATGAAGTAGAGGACTTCCTGGCAGACTTAATGAACAACGAGTTTGACACCGTAGTGGATGATGGCAGTTTGCCTCAGGTTTGTTTTTTGCGAAGCTTATGAAATCAAAAGCTGTATTTAATTATTATGTCGTTTATGTATAAACTTGCTTGTTTATGTTTTTATGTTTTCTTGGTAAGTTCGGAATAGTCGTTTTTGTAGTAAGGCATAATCATTGGGTTTTTTATATGTATATGTATAGTGGCTTGCAAAAGTATCGGACCCCCCAATATTTCATTTGCCTGAATTACAAATGATAATATTCATGCATTTTTCCTGACAATGTTTTTATTGCATACTCTCTTGCAGTAGATTTATAAAGTGAAAATCAATTATTTGTCAGCAAATCTAAATCTTTTAAGGAAAACAATGTCAGTGTGATAATTAAGACTAAAGAGCATTATAAGGAATTCAGAAATGAAGTAATGAAATGTCATAGATTTAGAATAGGGCACAAACAAATGTCCAAGAGGCTGGATATCCCAGTATTCCAGTGGATCAGTACTGAGAAAGTAGAAGCTGCACCACAGCTGCGTAAACCAGGCCATCCCTGAAGACTCAGCAGCCGCACAAAAAGGAGACTGGAGAGGGAAGCCAACCGGAGGCCAGCTGCTGGCCTGAGTAGGAGGCTCCTATGTGAAAACATGTATGAGAGAAGGTGTTTTGGTCTGATGGTGGACTTTGACCACAATCCACACCTTGCTTTTAGCAAGCAATCCTATTCTTTCTCTTATCATGCCCAGGGGGGTTGGCATCCAGTTGACCTTGGACCCCCCCCCCCCCCAGGGTTTTTTCTTCCTACTTGGGAGTTGTTGGTTCCTCTCCTCCATTGTCATCTAGCTTTTTCCTTCCTTCCTTCCTCCCTCCCTCCCTTCCGCCCACCCGCGGATGCCTGACTTTGAAGCACTATGTGAAGCCCCTGCCTCAGTTAACACTGTCCCTACAATGACGTGTGGGGATGACAGCATCAGTCTATAAGGATGCTTTTCAGCTTCAGAAACTAAAGCTTGAGGAAAAGATGACCTTTCAGCCGGACAGTGATTTTAAGCACAAGGCAAGGGATTGAATACTGAACACAAGCAGCTTTTTTCAGTTTTCTGGTTTTCTTTAACTAAGATAATTGAATTTGACTTTAAAAATTTGCCGTGAGAGGTTATGAGTTTTTGATTTAAAAAATACTGACAGGAAGAATATGTGTATGTATCATGTGTAATTCATAAGAACATAATAAATCTACAAATGAGTGGAGGCCATTCAGCCCTTCCAGGTCGTTTTGGAGAGAACTGGTTTAAAGGAATCCAGGGTTTTAGCTTGCACTACACTAACAGGAAGACTATTCCATACTCTAACTACACAGTGTGTATAGAAGTGCTTTCTCAAATCCATTTTAAAATGTTCTCCTGCTAATTTCCACCTATGGCCACAAGTTCTACTATTTAAATTAATATTGAAGTACCCATTTCGCTATACAGCATCCAGACCGGTTAGAATCTTATGTACCTGGATCATGTCCATGTATATAAGCTCAGCTAACCTCTCCTCATTCCTCTAAAACCCGCAATCATTCTTGTAGCCCTATGTTGAACCCTTTCTAAGCCAGCAATGTCCTTTTTAAGGTATGGTGAACAAACCTGCACACAATATTCTAGGTGGGATCTTACCAAGGAATAGTATAATCTTAGCATCACCTCCCTTGACTTAAACTCCACACACCTAGAGATGTAATCCAACATGCTATTGGCCTTTTTAATTGCTTCACCACAGCGGTGAGAGTGGGATATGGAAGCATCAACCGAGGTCTTTCTCATAATCAGCTACCTTTATTTCAGTGGAACCCATAAAATATCTGTGCTTTATATTTCCATATTATATTATATCCGCTAGTTCAGCATCTACTACACCACCCACCCTGGTGTCGTCTGCAAATTTAACCAGTTTACTGTGTATATTGGTGCCAATACCATTAATGTAAATTAAGAATAACGGTGGTCCTAAAATTGAACCTTGTGGTGCCCCACTATGAACGCATGTCCACTGTGACAATGTGCCTCTAATAACCACTTGCTGCTTCCTGTCAGTTAACCAGTTTTCAATCCAAGCTGCTGCAGTTTGTAAAATCACCGTTGCTTTGAGTTTAAGCAGAGGCCATTTGTGGGGAACAACATCAAAGGCCTTCTGTAAATCTAAGTAGATCACAGCCTTTTTGACATCAGCTTCCTCAAAGAACTCAAGTAGATTAGTTAAACAGGATCTACCTCTCCTAAATCCATGTTGACTATCTCTCAGAATGTTGTTTGAATCCAGGTAATCTACCATTTTTGCTTGGATTATAGCTTCCATTACTTTACCAGTTATGCAAGTTAAACTAATTGGCCTATAGTTTGATGGATTACTTCTATCCTATTTTTTGAATATGGGCGTTATATTAGCATGCTTCCAATCAGAAGGTACCACACCAGCAGATAGATTTCTGAAATAGTAAAGTTAAAGGTCGGCAAATGATATCCCTCATCTCTTTTAAAACTATAGGTAAGATGGCATCAGGACCCTGTGATTTATTTATTTTGAGCTTATCTAGGCTTTGTACCACATTAGCCTCAGTTATACATATATTGGTCAAATACGGTATGTTACTCGTGTCCTCTACAGTGAATACACATGCAAAACAATCTTTAGTCATTAATTATATCAATTTCATTTTCAATTATAATACTATCCTGCAGATCAGTGATTTCAGCTTTTAGAGCACTTTTGGAGTTCAGATATTGGAAGAAACATTTAATGTCATCATTAGTCTCCAATGCAATCTTCCTTTCGACATTCCTCTTAGCGAGTCTTTACTTAGCCTGTACATTTGGATACTCCTGCTTTATTCTGAAATCATTAGTTATTTTCCATTTGTGGAACAGAGCCCTTTTCCTCTTGACTTTACTCTTAATTTCCATAGTAAATCACCTTGGTTGCAGTTTTCTAGATTTAGTTTTGCTGGAAACAGGTATGAAATTCTCTTGCGCTTGCAATAATTCCCATACCCCTTCAAGAGTTTTGTTATTTAACTCCATTTAGTTTAGTTTATAGTTTGTCTCATACTATTAAAATTAGCCTTCCTAACATTGTAAATTTTTGTTTTGTACTTTGCTCTTCGGACACTAAAATTTAACCATGTTATGATCACTACTATCAAGTGATTCTAAGACCTCAAATTTTCCAATCCTATCCTGTTTATTAGAGAAAACAAGAATGGCTTCTCCCCAGCAAGTTTTAACAAACTGAATAAAAAAGCAAACCTGTACCAATTATACCCTCTCAAGTTCATTTAGAGTAGAGCCAGAGACTATGTCCCACTGTAATTCAGGTAAATTAAGATCACCTGTAACTACCACATCATTTTCATTACTCATAATCCTGATATCTTTGTATAACATTCTGCAATTACATTAGGTGCTCTATAACAAACACGAACAATTAGGCCATTTGAGTTTTTATCATCTAGTTTTACCCATACAGCTTCTATAACATTTATTGTTATCAGTGCGTTCCATTGTCTGCAAGTTTCCTTTTATACATACTGCAACACCACCTCCGTTTCTTGCCTATCCGGTCCCTATGGAACAATGTGTAACCATCCACAATTTGTTTGATACTATTTATGACTAAAATATTAATGAGGTATTTTATGACGCCCAAAAGTTGGTAAATTCGGCATATCCTTATGTTTAATAAATGTGTCAGACCAAACATAGTATACCCAAAGAGCATGATGTGGTGCGCTCCGCTAACCAAATTTTAAAAAGATTACTAAGTTTTGGGTGTTACAAAACGCATCTCATTAATATTTTAGCTGTACTACAAATCTGCTTACCAAATATTGGGCGTAAATAAATGTCTGTATAGTACCGAAAAGCTGACGACCGACCAAATGCTTCGCCTTTGACCTGAAGCCCTGGTGATTACTGTGCATGCACCATATAATAGCCCTTCATAAAAGTCTGATGAAATAAAAGCCTCTAATTTATTAATTTTGTTTCAAATACAGTGGTACCTCAGAAGTCGAATTTAATCCTTTCAGAACTCTGGATTGAATCCCCAAAAAATTACACCTAAATATGTTTTTTTTAAGCATTTAAACACAAAATGAACTGGATAAAAACAAGAAGAGCATATACTGTGCTAAACACATCTAAGCACATTTATCAAAACAGTAATTTGTAAAGTAAGAAAATAAATGTATCCAAACAATGTGTCCTGCCCCAATCGTCTGCTCCTTCCGTGTGCCACGCCCCCTCATTAACCTCGTGTGGAATCCCCATGAGATCAGCTGTTTCTGGTTGTTGTCATTAGTCTTCTGTATTTAGTCCGCGTTTCAGTTTGTTTCCCCAGTCCGATCATTGTATTGTCCGTCTGCGTTTTGCCTGACGTCTACCCTTTGTCTCCGTTCTGTCCCCGCTCAGCACAACAATATTATTATAATTAAACATATTAATGGTTTATTATTAATATTAAAATAATGAATAAGAATTCTTTATTTTTAAATGTATTTTATTATATAGTAATAATTACTGTTACTGTCTATCATTGTCTAAATGTATTTTTACTGTCTAAAAATATGTATTCAGTTAGTGTAAACATGGATGGTGCCATCACAGTGTATGCAAGGCTGAGACTGAAGCGTTACCCTTTGTTTCCGCTGAGAGACGTGCCGCGTGACTAATTTCCCCGTGCGTACAAGTTATCTTAGGTCGGCGTTCACGGTTTGACTTCTGAGATTCAGATTGAGCTCTAGGTAATTTTTTTTTGAACTGGTTGGTTTGACTTTTAAGAAATTCGAGTTCTAATGAGTTCGAGAACTGAGGTACCACTGTACTCATAGAATTTAAGTACAGGTAGCAAAAAGTAGGCCTTTTACAGTGTCCACTTTCATTTTTATTTGGGGCTTTCCATTTTTTCTGTTTTTCATTCTCCCCCCCTCCCCACTTGTGGCATACACACTATCTCTCTACACGGTGTATTATCTCAATTTTGTGTTGTTGGATGAGAGCTAGTTGCTCCTCAAGATCACGAACCTTGACCATGAGTCCCCCAGCTGAGATCGCTCGCAGGGGATGTCCGACTGGATGCAAACATGCAGAAGGCCAAACATCTTGCAAACAGAACATTGAACTGGCCCCACTCAGGCAATTCCAATAATTTTTGTAGAGGGTTCAGTACTTTCGCAGGCTAATGTTTTTAATATTTTTAAAAATGTTTCTGTACTAGGTGGCTTCAAAAATTTGCCAGCTATTCAAACAATGTGAACAAGGGATGCTTTTAGAAGTCAAAAGTCAGATTGCCCAGATGGTACAGAGGAAAAGTTCTGGGAGGGCTAAAGCTACGCCTGCACAGCTCCCAGCAGACAACGAGGAAGAGGAGAGTGAGGAAGATGAGAGAGTAACAGAAGAGGTATTTCTTAAATTGTTTTAGCAGAAAGATTATCCATCGCGATTGATGTAATTTAGTGGCTGACACTGTGTCCTCGTACCTCCGGGACTCTGGGTTTGATTCTCCCCCGCTCTGTATGTTCTGCATATGCACACCCCAAGACTGGCAACATTTTTGCTCCTTTCCAGCTCCAGGAGCAAAAACATGGACTGTCCGGGGGTCCCCAAGGACCCCATTGAATAACACTGCGCTAAGGGTAATAAAGAAAACAATTAACCAAACTGCATGATTTTTTTGGAGTATGAGAAGGGTACCTGGAGAAAACCAGAATCAAACCCAGAGTCCAGGAGGAATGAGGATGCAGTGCTACTCAATAATCCAAATGACATCATTTTCAATGTATAATCGTAAGGGTTGAGAAATGACTATAAGTGTATAGTGAAGTTTGAGCCCAGTATTTCTTGGGATGGGCACCAGGCCCAATGCTACCCTGTACTGGATGACCAGTCATGGACAGATGCATAGATAATTCAGTGAAGCATAGCATCTATTTTTCAGTGTGACTGAACTTGTGCTATGATTGACAGCCTATGGAGTGTGAAGAAGAAAAGGGAGGAAGCTCATCTACTACACCCCCTCAGGAGCAGACTGCTGGCACAGTACCCTCCCAGGATGCTGAGGACGGCTGGACTGTTGTGCGGAGAAAGAAGTGAACAATTTGGAGGGAGGGGGGAGAGCTGGACACACAGCTAATAAAAGACTGAATTAATATTCTGCTGCACCAGGCTACATGTGGGCTGTACAGGTTTATTTCATTCGTCTCAAAAACGGAATTTATTCTTTTTCTATTAAAAACTTAGACCCATGTGCGTTCAGGAAATGCTGGGTTGAGTTTCTTCAAAATGGAATTGTTACGTACCATGATTTATTCCATCCCATACCTGGCAACAGATAAATGTTTGATCATTTAGTTCCTTTTTTTCCATTGGAGGAATCTGGAGCGAGCTAGTTTCTATTTATTGATTTTTAAAGAAACCAAACAGTTTTATTCTTTGGCTAATCTGCTTCATATCAGAACAGAGAACTGCAGTCAGAGTTCACATGAAGTCCCCTTCGCAGTAATGCTGCTTCATGACCACAGTGGGACCTGAGCCCAGCTTATGCACCACACTTTGCTTCTTAAATGTTTATTAAGTACACAGGTTGTTTTCTTAGCTTTGCTTCCATACAGCAATGGCCACTGCAATGCATCCCCACGTCACTCGCAACATGTATCAAAAGTAAAGGCATTTCTTTGTTTTGGACTACACCTATTTTACTCACAAAGATCAAGGCACTATTATTAAAACGTAAAACGGCGAAAGGATGTAACTGCTGAATATTGTGATTTAAAAAAGAGGGGGAAAAAAATAATTTTCAGGTCAGACCTTTTGTGACCAATTTCACTTCAGAAGCAAACGTCAACCCTTGAATCATGCCTGTGTGTGTATGTTGTGTGTGGGTAGCAGTAGTGACAAGGCTGAGGCTTCGTCTACCTCTCGCTCTGTGTGTGAGGTGGCTAAGGCCCCATTGCTTTGTGTGTGAGGTAGCTGAGGCCCCATTGCTCTGTCTGTGAGGTGGCTGAGGTCCCATCTCCCTCTGTGTGTGAGGTAGCTGAGGCCCCGTCGCTCTGTCTGTGAGGTGGCTGAGGTCCCATCTCCCTCTGTGTGTGAGGTAGCTGAGGCCCCGTCGCTCTGTCTGTGAGGTGGCTGAAGCCCCGTCTCCCTCTGTCTGTGAGGTGGCTGAGGCCCTGTCTGCTCCCTGCTGTTTCTGAGGTGGCAGAGCAGAGGCACACTGACTAGGAGCTGAGCCAGGGGTGCCGCAGACACTGGGCAGCAGTGGCCCGCTTCTCGGGGATGAACTCCAGCATGGTGAGGAGGAAGTCACTGAACTGGGCCGCCTGCTCCAGGGGCCACTCGTATTTCTCCAGCAGCACCTCAAACAGACCCCATGGCTTCAGGCTGGAGATGTGCCGCAGGTGGCCTGTCAGGAGAATGAGTAAGAGCATGGGGGCTCTTCTTAGGAGCAGTTCACTTGTTGCACGGACATGATTAGCCCGTCGTGAAATTAAAATAAACACAAAATTTCTGGATACAGAAGTTACGATATTTGTTTTTGTTAATCTTTGGGATTTGCAAAATTAAAGATTTGTTCAGCCAACATAAGTAGCATTTAAGGTGTCAGACTCATGTAAATATTTGGTAATCAGGCCAACATTACACTTGCTGTGGGAATAGCAGTTGATACAACAACATATTAGGTCCATGAACTCCAGCTTAAGTGGTACAGTGTGTGATTTACTAATGACCTTAAGTGTCAGAGCTCAGGCAATCCATCTCAGCCTGCTGACAGCCAGTCATCTCCTCCCCCGGGGTCTGATTGGTCCCCTGGGCCAGTGACTAGCCGCTTTACCTACGCAGACTAATCCTCTTACCTGGTATCAATGCTGGTTCTTTCTCTGGATGCTGCTATAGTAGTGTCACCGTTTTACATACAACCAATTTAAGGAGCATGACCCCCCCCAAGAAGCTACTTATTCCATCACCCCAAAAAAGCGGGCAGTTATGAAAAGTACCGTTTATGTTTTACAAATGCAATCTCTGCAAAACAGTGAGCAACAGGAAAGTAAATTCTTTATCTTACCTCTGCGATTGAAGTATTCCCGGGAATACCGTCCGGAGAGGGCAAAATGGGGTGGAATGGATCCTAGCAACTCAACTATGTGGGCAATATGATCTGGGAATACGAAAGATAGTCAAAAGGATTCAACGATGGGCAACTAGTGGCTTTGTTATTCACTCATCAATCATTGTCATCTAGCATTAAATATATAGGCATCTCCATTAGCAAGCACTGTTTGCAAAAACAAAACTTCATGCTTCATCTTACGAACGGAGCGTCTTCCTTTACTGATGTTTGAAGACTGGAGTTACATGCAAATCTGCAGTCTGAAATTTAGTATCCCACTGTGGCAGAGAATCAGGTCAGACAGGCTCCTACCTTCATCTCGGGTGTAGTCTTCTCCTGAGTGAGGTTCGAACAGGTAGTCCCCGGTGGCCAGCTCAAACGCCTGCAATAACACCCCAGACTCCCATATAACTGCTTTTACCAGCATCACAAACTTCACTGGCAAGCTGGCAAAAACACCGAGAGCTCATACATGAAGACTTAAGTATAAACGCAGCTGACGACATGAAGGGAAGAAGGCGAGCTCCAGTTATGTGTTTACAATACTTAAAAGCACAGCATTTAGTGTGAAGGTGATCATTTATATTCTTAGAGCAGTGTTTCACAACCCGGTCCTCAGGGACCCCAAGACAGTCCATGTTTTTGCTCCCTCCCAGCTCCCTGCCAAACAGGAGGGAGCAAAAACATGGACTGTCTTGGGGTCGCTGAGGACCGGGTTTTGAGACACTGCTCTAAGAAAGACAGTGTGTCAAGAGCATCCATGATCCCATCTGCCAGAGCTTATACAGCATGGAAGATGCAGGGGAATCTGGCCTCTCTCTGAGCTCACCATGCAGGCGGTACTCCATATGTCAGCTGGGGGACCATATTCTGCACCGATCAAGACCTCCAGAGCACGGTACTGTCGGGTCTGGATGTCCTCTGTAAAATGTTTGTGCTTGCAGAACAGAGGAAAATTATCACAATTAATTTGAACATGCCACTCCCTTCTCCATTATCACTGATCTGCTTAAAGTTTTCTAATTACAGTATATTTATATGAATAGTTACGTGTGATGACTCACCACCCAGCAAGCGTTGCCCAGGTCAGCTATCTTGATGCGGATCTTATCTGCGTTCTGTGGCTCTAGAGGATTGACCAGGAAATCAGCTGCACTAAACACTGGCAGAAGAGACCACACTCATCAGCACATGATTAATCATTATACACGGGTCTGACCGCATAACCGAAGGTGAAGGGACACACAGGCGGGGTGGGACTGACTGTGTGGGGAGAGCAGTGAGCGATGGCTGTCTCTCTCGGTGGAGTATCCTGACAGTGTGGAGAGGGCCGACTCTGAGGTACGGGACAGGATGGAGCCAGACAGGCCGGACAGGCCGGAGCCGGGGCTGGAAAAGCGCATGTCCCCCGCCCCTGAGGACAGCCACTCCGGGCTGGCCTTACTGGGAGCCACTACCGGCCCACTGCCATAGCTGCTTCCGTTCCCATTCTCTGTACACAATGGGCCTGGGGACACTGTTAACACAGTAGTTCTAATTAATGTGGAAATGATGCTGGAGTTTAAAACAAAAGAGGTGAAGTTGCCTGTCGAGCTGGTAACTCACAGTGCGTATCCTGTCTGTCGGAGTCAGTGCCCTCCTGCAGTGCCACCCCCCGTCCCCAAGGGGGAGACGTGCCAGCCAGCTCCTCCATCCTCTGAAGGTCCAGCAACCTCTCCTCCAGCAGCTTCTGCTGCTTCTTTTCCTTGCGCTTCAGCTTCTTCTTCTTGTTCTTAGAGATCTTGCCTGTCTGAACACAGAGACGTCAGGGTCAGCCAGGGAAACCCAGAGGAAATCATCAGGATTAGGCATCCGTAACAGAGTTCCTGTTCATCTGCACTTTTGTGCCCAATAGGTGGCAGCATCGATTCCCCATCTCCATAGCTGTCCAATTTCTGATAGTCAAAAACCATGAGTATAGCTGCCAGAAAATCAATACTTAACACCGGCAGCCAAGATCACACATTTATATAGAGAAAAGCACACATTAGAGGTTTTATATAAACACCGATTATAAAGACGTGCACCAATAATCCACACAAAGGAAGACCAGGCCAGTGTAACCGGAAGCGCTTCTGGTGTGAATAACATTGGTGTCTAATGAGGGAGATGTGAGTGCTGCCTTGGGTTTTATAAGTCATGTAGAGTTATCTCAAAGTGTGAAGCACAGTGGTTGATCTTCTGTAATCTAGCATAAAAAAATCCATGCAGCAGGCATTCTAATGATAAATGAATAACTAAAGCCAAAAAAAAGTTGTTTACAGTCCAAGGAATCTTTAGCACAGGGGAGCAAATTTGCATTACCACAAGCAAAATTCTGATGCCCAGTGATTTCTTTAGAAATTATTTGTTTTAATAGCATAGCTATTAATTATGCAAAAAATAATCAGTGTTTTTTGTGTAATCCATGTTGAGTTTTCATGCCAACTTCATAAATGATACACTACATTTAATAAATACAGGACCACTGCTCAATAACTGGCTACATTTAATGCATCTCCCGCCCGCACTTCCTGCTCCACAGGTATTCTAGAACGCGACCTTCAATAAAGCATGAAAACTGCACTGGCGGCCACCACACAGTCTCTCAGAGCTGGCCAGGTGACCTCCAGTGATATGAGCCTTATGAGAAAAGCTGCATCTTAGGAATGATGAGGTCATGTGAACAGATCAGGCAGCCATGTGTCCTGCCAGTGAGCCTATTCAAGCAGACAATTCTGCCCTGATTGTGCAGAACTAACTATATACTCCTTACAGTACTGTGCATTTAGTCAGTATGTATCACTGCGAGAACTAAACCTATAGTCACTTAAAATTATCACTTTTGGATCTGACATTACTTTCAATATGGCATACTATGCTTTTTTTTAATTTTCACCTTTTTTCACCTTGAAGCTACAAACAACATTTCACACTGTTCTCTGAGGAATGACAGACTTTTGCTGACACCATGAAATGACAAAAAAGGGCTACAAAGTCAGGCTTTGCTTCACTAAGGAAAAGGATGTCTGCAAAAATGCATTAGTAATATTTTGGAGCATTTGAGCTTCATTCCATGCAGCTAATGTAGCAGCTTTGCATAGTGTAAAGACACCTCTCTGTAACAGACATTACAGACACTGTCCAATACAAATATACTGGCATCCCTCAGTGCTGCTTCTTCATTAAAAAAATATTATTCTAGGACAGGCCAAGTCGTTCTGCGAAAGTTGTTACAAAAACAAAATAACAAGCTGCAATAGCCACCATTTTCACAATATGACGAGTCCGACTCCTTCAGACTAAATTCCCAGGGACATACATACACAGTAGATTTCCTCCATATAATCCAGGATACAATCCAAGTTTTCAGTTTCTGTTTATGTCCTTAACTAGAGCAACGCATTTCCACTTTCGCAAATAGGAAGGGGAAATTTCACGGCTCTCCCCAAGTCAGGTAATGACAGAGGATATTATGATCATTATTAGGAGCATACAGTCTAACAGACATTACTTCACACATTTTCATGCTGATGTGTGAACACTGAGTATTCCCATGTTATAGTCCGTTTGCACCCATAAATAAAGAAATAAATAAAATCACACCGGGTTAATCGCATGCCAGACAGGGAGACCCAAATTCATCTTTCCATCTTTACCATCAAGCATAACAAAAAGGATTCATTTCTGTTCAGCAAAAATGACATTATTAGTCCTTTCTGCCATGCAAGCTTCTCCACATACCTGTTTGTCCCTGGGGGCGGTGCTAACTGCCATCAAAACAGAAGGAAAAGTGGAACGATTACAAAAAAGGAGAAATGAAATTAGGAGCAGTAGACAGTGCAGAAATAGGATGACCAGAATTCACGAGAGATTAAAAGTAAGAATGCAACTGATACCAGACAGTAACAATTGATAAAGGAGTAGCACGATATTTGAAAAGTACAGGAGCTGGTCATACAGCCTTAAGCAGTTTGCTAAAATGTACAAGTTTGCAAAATAAGGGCTTTCTGTTCAGATAGATATAATGCAGTTAGGTCGAGATTGCACACATACGAGGTCTCCTCTTTGCTAAAATCACATGCATCTTTTAAAAATGCATTTGTTGTAATTTTTTCACCAACTGCTCTCAACAGGGCTGTAGGGCTGCAACAAATATTCAATAACTGCGATAAATCTGAAAGTGAAAATGAATTAAAAACATGAAATTTAATGATGTATAACACTGATTTGGATACTTTCGTAAATGGGAAAATATATAGCCTGTATTTTTAAAGCAAAGTGGGAACAGCAACAATTTGCAACATGCCGATAAGAACTGAGGGAAAAAACAAGAGGGAAGGCAAGAAAATCAAGCCGAAAATAGTGAGCAGCCTGGCATTTTTTCCGCAGAAGTGGGGGATGGTTTGTGTGCATTACAGCACAACAGCACGGCGTACATGAAAGAGCGTTTGAAAGGGAAACATCCCAGTGGAGCACAAAGGTAACATAATGTTCACTTCCCAGTTTGTTATATTTGGCACAAGAGGAGCTCATTTTCAACGCTAATGTTTTGTCTTGAAAAGTAACCTTTTCTGCAATAATTGTTTGAAACAATCATTTAGCCTGATTTCTTTAAGAGATGACAAACGAATGCATTCAAAATGTTGCCAAATGATTTAACTGACATTGATTTTTGCAATGGAATCACTCGACTCATATGACCTAAAATACCCTATACCTTTAGCCAACTTGTATTAGACAAGGCTTAAATTCAACAGCTCTATTGTTACAGGTATCAAGTGCAGTGAAATTCTTACTTAAATGTTACCCTCTCAAACACATGATTACCATGTTTATTTCCAGCTACAGGTATTGATAAAATGAGCCAGCCTAAGCCAAGATCATATGAATAAGCTGACATTCCTGCATTGTAATAAAGAGTTCAATGTAAAAATCAGAAGCATTTGTTCTTTGGAAGTTAGAATTCTCCATTCTGAGTCATATGTATTCATTTAACAAATTTGGCACTCCTTAAACCTTGTTACTCTTACATGGAAGTATATGAATGAATAATTCAATATTTTGATAGAATAACTGAATATCAAAATACTCGGAATATCAAAAAATCGTTGCAGCCCTACAGGGCGGTACATATTTGCAAACCAAACCAGTAAAATAACACAAATGTTTGCATCAGCCTTATTTTAAACCTAAGATATACTGCTTTCGGTGCATTTCAGCAAGGGCAGCTTCATACCACACACACACACTGAATTAGACACCAAGTTCCTTTACATCATTTTGCGGCGATTAACCCCACATTTTACTGAGGCTGCGCTTACTAAGACCTCCCACCAGGGTGGGCTGTAAAGCATCTGCTACACCAGCTCCCCACAAATGCGTTTGCCCAAAACCGGGCATCACTGTGTTCGGCACCTGCCCCTGAGGTCCATTTTTCTGGATGGATACTGGGTGTTGTCCAGCTAAAGGGTATGAAAGCCTTAGCAGCTCCAGAAAGCCACTTGCCAGAGGAGCCAGAGGGGGGTGGCGCTCCGGCCTGCTGCCAGATGGTGGCCTCGGCGGCCAGCCTCCGGACGTACACCTCATCCACTTCGAGTAGGATGTTCTCTGGCTTGATGTCTGTGTGGATAATCTTGCATTTGGTGTGGAGGTAGTCCAAACCCTGCAGGACCTGTGGAAAAGCACAGGGAGGGAAAGAAAAAGGGAAATTAAACAGGAGGAGGGAGTCTTCCGTGCAAAGCTTAGACAGGGAAGGTCAGAGCGAGGCCTCACCTGGTGGAGTATGCTCTTCACGCAGACCAGGGGCAAGCCCATGTAGTTGGACTTGATGATCCATTTCAGTAATTGGTGGCCAAGAACCTCCAGAACCATGCAAACATCTGGCACAGAAAGCCGTTAAGGACACCTACAGTAGGGTCATTCACACAAGACTGTTTTAAAAAATGGACAAAAGATGGGGATATGGGAAAAGGATACGGACACCGTGAATGCCAGATATCTTGAAATCATCAATCAGCTGTACTATAGTCTCTCGTTTAGGGTCAGTGGGGTCGCTGTCTCGCACCTGAAGGGAGTGATATGGAAAAAATGCAGAATATATTTTGGCAAAAAGAGACATATCTGCAACTCAGATATGTTTATAACAGCTAGACTTGATCCAAAGTTTAACATAAAAATTGCTCAATAAATACTATAAAAATCAGCAATCAAAATTACTCTGTTCCATAGAATCATTTATATAAATAAAATTGATATCCTCCTTATTTCCCATTTGAATCCATGACTCCACTCATAGTTTTAACCTGTAAACTGGCATCCTGTTTCTAGATATTAATTACTCATATTTCAGGTATCACCTATACTGCAGCTAAATAAGAAATTACTTTGTAAGCGTACCCCAGAAAAGAAGTATTTAAAAATGAAATCTTTTTTTTTACTTCTCAAAAAGTGAGTGCTTACTTACTTGACAACAGACACTCACAGCCTGACAAGCCCACAGAGAAATCATGGGAAATTCTACTAAGGCACACATGTGCATCGTTGGGATGTTCCTAGTAAAGAGTGTAAAATCTGGAAACTCAGAACAGTTTCCAGTACAACCTGAAGCAGGCTGAGACTGATGTAAGACAGTCTGAACCGGAGGAGCCCGGCCCTGTTTTTCTGCATTTACCGTTTCAAAGACTCTTTTATTCATTTTCTCCAAGCCGGCATCTTTAAAGCACAGAGACGTGGCTCTCCCGTGTTTATTTCCCCCTTTTAACTCCTTCTGTTCATGTTTCTGCAACCTTCCCATCTTACAAGTTCTGAGAAAGCAGCACATCTATCACCCATAAGCATCAATATATAAAGATGATATAAGACATCACAGTAAGCAACTGCTTCTTCTGTAAGTGGGATAAAATTTCCTGCTGGAATCAAGATAGTTGGAACACTGTGTTTGTCATCTTTTTGTTAATGTGAAAATAAACACAGTAGATGCCTAAAAACAGACAATGGCCCATGGCTGTGTTTAGCCAGACACCTTGGCAATCAGTGTGAGGCAAGTCCCTGATGCTGGAGCTCATGTTTTACCATGGATCTTCGCCTCTGTATTTTTGCATGTATTGCATGTATTTGCATGTGTGTGTGTGTGTGTGGGGGCACTTACGCATTTAAGCAGCTTGATCTCATCCAGAGCTGTTTCCGTGTAATGCTGAGCACTTTTCACGATCTTGAGAGCCACAAATCGCTTCCTCCTGCACACACACACACACGCGCACACACACACACACACACATCAGTCCTACATTGCTTCACTCACTGATTAGACAGGACAGTAGAAAGGCAGCCTCAATCCAACCCAACCCAGCATACTAGAACAGTGTTTCCCAACCCAACTCTTGGGACCCCAGGCAGTTCACATTTTTGCTCCATCCCAGTTCCCAACACACCTGTACCGGATATTTGGTGTTATTAATTGTTTGCTTCAGTTTTGCTGGGGGGGAGGAGCAAAAATGTCGACTGTCTGGTTGTCCCCAAGGACTGGGCTGAGCAGCACTGCACTAAACAGAAAGGACACATACCCATGATAGTCAAGTCACTAAAAAAAACAACACTTGACCAACACTACTTACTGGAGGTCCCAGCACAGCCAGACGGTGGAGAAGTGTCCCCAGCCCAACTTCCTGACAACATGGTACCGCCCATTGAACAGGTCTCCTATCTTCACTGGATAATACCCACCTCAAATACACACAGGCAGGTGATCAGGCACTGACCACTATCCAGGACATTCATTACCATTCATTGTTATGCAAAATTATATGGGCTACATCAAACAAAATAATTACCAAATAATTATTCATGTATTCTAAAACTAATTAAACATATACTCTAAAACTAATTAAAAATAGTAAATACAGAAATCATATCAGATATGTTATCAAATATGGCTGTTTCAGAAAAAGATTTCTATCCACTAGGAACTAATTAAAAAAAATACAACAAAAACAAAACAACAGCTTGATTCCTTCAGTGGAAACATGGTGTAAACTGCACTAATCATTGTGGATAATGGAACAATCAACATATCAGATGGACCTTGAGGCAGCCATTTGATTCCCTGAAAGCACTGTGACATTCACTTTACAGGAAGTCTTCACTAGTATTCACAAATGGTAAAATAAAATGTCTCTAGAAAAGCATTTCTATTTCTGAACAGAATTTTGTTTAATATAACCTGAATCGCCTGAGTCATCAAAAGGCCTCAGTCAAGTTTAAGTGATTTCAAGAACTGAAACAAAAACCAGCACTAAGTGCAAATAAAATTACACCCTCAGTTTCCGCAATAGTCATACTTCTCTGTCCCATGTCGATATTTCAATATTGCTTTCAAATGACATAATTCTTGTGAATACATTCTCCATTAAAGTGTAGTACATACGCAACAACATAAAACTAAAAATGAAATAAAAAGAAAATCTATAGCAGTATAATGTAAATCACCAGAAAAGTGCATTTCCTAATATGTTCATGTTTTTAAGAAAGTTTAAGTAAATGGCAAAAAGCACATAAGACAGCTATTCTGGATTTTTGGCAAAAGAACACTTCAGGGTCATTCCATATTAAATCACACAGAGGGTCCCACATTACCCTCTCAGAGGTACTGCTACACTGTTTGAGTGAGAAGCTCTCAAAGGGGGTGTCGGATGGAATTTTCTGCCATTTTCAGAGCTTTGTAGGAGGAAAAGTACATAAGAAACACTAGATCTGACTGCATTTCCGAATTCTACAGTGTAATCACAATCATTCTAAGCTCTACATGCCATTTCAAAGGAGCTATGAATGTCAGAAGTGTGACCAAAAGTGTGACTCGTTCAGCAAAATGCATAAAATTTATTAAAATTTCAAAGGGCCGTAGTTTCAAAACTATTGCAGATACAGACCTAATATTTTGGGATTTTTCTAAAGTTTGTTAAAGGAGCATCTATTGATTTTTTCAGGGGAATCTGAGAGGGTAACCTGACAATTTTTTCTAAGAATGGGAAATTTAATATAGAATGACTCTTCATAGAATTATCAGTACTATTAGAGTTTTTCCTACTAAAGACTCTCAAAAACCATTGATTAAATTTGATAATAATTCGTATTTTTCAAGTGTTAGTAATTTCTACTCCCAAATGACTTAATGTCCTTGGTAATATACATCCTTCCTTCTGCCGAACAAAACCACATCAAGAATTAAAGTGTCACAACTGAATTATTATTGGGAACTTAATGCTGTTGTATCTTTAATTTAAAGTCATTACACGTCCAGCCAGTTTTCAAAGGTAATTACTTGGAATGATTCAATTAACACTGTAAGTACTCAATTTTAAAACTGAAACGTTTTCAAGACTTCCGTAGTAACTGCAAAAAGTGAAGCAAATTCAGCATTTAGTGAAAACTGAATACAATACAATAAAATCCATAAGGAAACAAAAATACTATATTACTTAGTTCTGACCAATTTCCCCTATATACAAAGATCTCTGATTTGATACATTAAAAATAAGACTAGTATACCTCTGCAGTAATCAGTAGGGTCTTCCTGTTCCTCATCATCTGATCCCAGGAGCTCTGGAGGGGGTGGAGTGTATTCAGGCGGTGGAGGGCTGAGGGCCTGGGATGGGGGGGTTTTGGCTGAGGTGACAGATGGTGTGGGAGGGATAGTGAACTGATCAGGAAGCACACACAGAGAAGGGCTATCAGAAGTGGGTGGAGCTTCTGATGAAGGTGGCGGCTGTTTGCTTGGGATCCTTGATACAGGTGTAGATAGGCAGAGTGGGGCAGTGGGCTGAAGGACTAAAGAGAGTGGGGTTTCCGATGGGGTTGTTGGCGGTCTGGTTGGGGCCCGTAGTGTGGGAGTGGATGGGAAAAGTGGAGCAGCAGGATGAAGGTCAAGAGAAAGAGGAGTTTCTGAAGGTTGATTCAGCTGTTCGGCTGAAATTTGTGGTGTGGGTATAGATGAGGAGACCATAACGGAAGGAAAAAAGTCAGGTGTGGGTGTGGTTTTTGAGGCTTGATTCAGCTGTATGGTTGGGGTTTGTGGTGTAGGTATAGATGGGGAGACTGTAGCAGGAGGATGAAGATCAGGTATGGGTGGAGTTTGTGAGGCTTGATTCAGCTGTTCGGTTGGGGTTTGTGGTGTAGGTATAGATGGGGAAACTGTAGAAGGAGGATGAAGATCAGGTATGGGTGGAGATTTTGAGGCTTGATTCAGCTGTTTGGTTGGGGTTTGTGGTGTAGGTATAGATGGGGAGACTGTAGCAGGAGGATGGAGATCAGGTATGGGTGGAGTTTGTGAGGCTTCATTCAACTGTTCGGTTGGGGTTTGGGGTGTAGGTATAGATGGGGAGACTGTAGCAGGAGGATGGAGATCAGGTATGGGTGGAGATTTTGAGACTGGATTTATCCTTTTGACTGGGATCTGTAATATGGGTCTGGATGGGAAGAGAGGAGCAGAGGGATAAAACTCAGGAGAGGGTGGACTTCCTGAGGATGGTATTGGTTGCTTAGTTTGTGGTATGGGTATGGATGAGGAGAGTGCAGTAGCAAGATGAGAGCCAGATGTGGGTGAAGTTTCTGAGTAAGGCGATGCCTGATTGGTGGGAACGAGTGGTATGGGTATGGATGGTGAAAATAGGACAGCAGGCTGAAGGTCAGGAGGACTTTGAGAAAGATGAAGCAGAGGAGGTGAAGGTGTCCTGGTTGCAGCAGGATGCCTGTGAATTGTGAGGATATGAACTTCGTCTACGCTGTTGGAACTCTGGGGCCTGAAAACAAGTACAGAAATAAAAATGCCTATTAACATATGGAATTTGAACATCCTGGAAATCCCACCCAGCTTTCCCTTAAAAATTTATGTGTGCATTACCCTGTAGACTAAACTGATACACTCATAATTAGTATTCTATTCAGCGGCAACAAAAAACAAGTAAACACATGCAGCCGGTTTAAAGCCCAATATCAGCCCAACCAAATTCATACACAGTGTGCCTAAAGCATCATCACAGCACCCTGATTATTTAAGGCCCGATTGCACATAATATTCAACCTAGTAAAGTAAAATTTAGGGAAATAAAAAATAGACTAGAACAGAATAAAAATAAACACTTTTGTCTTTTGTAAATTAAATTTATGGACATGTAAAGAAGAAAAAAAATACATAGCTTCTACTTAAATACCATCTCTTGACAGCATTTTCTATATCCTGCTGTCAGTTTAAATACCTGTGTTGTCACCATTTCAAATTTCCACTCCAGAGCACAACCAGCATATAATCAGTTTCCCAAGATTTTTTGGTTTTTGTCTGGTGTTTCGATTGGTGATTGACTGAAAAATATTCTACCTTAACTTGTCGAGTTGTATTTTTTATAACATTCCATAGAGCTGTCTAATATACATATATATACAAATTCACATACACATGGTAACTGCCATAAATACCCAACATAGAATAAACATCACATACACTATGATTCACAGCTTAAAGGATACTAATTTAAGCATGTAGTTTTCAAATAAGTGTATTACTTGATATTTTCCATCCATTTCCAATATCCAGTATTATCTATTCATTAACTAAAGTGACCATGGAAAACACACATAATATGCCAATGGCCACCATACACATAAGATGAAACACACAAACTCGGCAACACTGCAAGGGTTAATCAGTGTTGCTAAATTGATTACGGTTTGCAGACTTGTGTGTGCTCTGTCCTAACTAGTTCAACTGTAGGTGATAAAATATCATTATAATTCAGTTTTCCCCATCCGGGAAGAAAAACAAATCCTAATGCAAAATGAGGCTGTAATTTCATAGTTCCACAAAAGAATAATTCATAAACTGAATTTCTAATGAAGTTATCCAACAGTGTACCCCTGCACCAGTGTACGTCCATCCCTAGACAACAGCTCAATACAAGAACAAAAACAACGAGTAAACCAGAAAAATTCACCATGATTATCTAATTCTGAGAAGCAGACCACGGGTGTATTTCAAAAGCCAGACTACAGGTGTGATACACTTTTTTCATGTCAGCTATAAATGATGGAGTATGGCTGCTGAAGGAGATGTGCTTTTATAAATCCACATGCAAGAAAACAGCCTGTCATATTTTCCATTTTTTAAATTTACTTTATCCTTTACCTGACTTTGACATAAAGAAAGAAATGCCAGCACGTCAGATTAATTACATTACTAGGGGAGAATAAAATAGTAATGTTATATGATAAAACATTCTAACAACACCATTATTCATTAAAACTAATTACATAACATTTAATGCCATCATATTTTAACAAGATTAAAACAAATGCACAACATACACTGAGAATTAAGGGACATCACCGTCATCTACACAAGCAAACAATGCTCTCTGTTGCAGAGAAGCATGGCTGCATTCAGCATCTCTGTGCACTACTGAAAAGAGCAGGGACTTAGTCAAGTTTAGCTGGGGCTTGACTGTTTTTTAAGAAAGATTGGCATTGGGGCTAAAATATTTGGGGCTATGATCAGACCTAATGACACGCATGGTTGTAGTCCTACTTACAAGACATTACCCTCATAGCTAGTTAACTACGTTGACTTAATGCCATGCCAGCAACCAGGGGTATATTTATGGCGAGCAAATGGATGGTAAAACGGACTGAACAAACAGAGAGCTTAAAACATCATAAATCACTGGAAATTGCTACAGTTAGAACAATCTAAACAAGATGTTTTCTTTACTAAAAAGCTGTTAAAGAGCCAGAAAAATGATAAAATCACCATCCTCAAAGTTAGCCTTTTACCCCAGACATAAACTGAACAATAGAAATTTTATTCTGCATACCAATTGTATCACTGCGCACCATGAAATTGCTGGGCCGCTTATATCTTCTGCGCAGTGATATGATTGGTTTGTGGAGTTTGGTACTGTGGATTATCTTCAATAACCGGGTCATGATTTCTGGTAAGAGACATTGCTGTTGGATTTAATAAAAATGTATCTTTCTGGCACTTTAATCACCTATTATATTTGAGAGAAGCCCAACATTTCAACGGTCGATATCTCCAACCACTATGCAACTCCCAGCAGAACAACCTAGATGGATAGATAGCACTAAAGTCCAACTAAAACATCTTTTTCAGTTTTGGAGTGAACTGCCCTTTTAGGTCTATTTCCAGTTTTTGGATCAAAACTATTACCTAGACATCCCATATCTCAGATGATAGTTTATACTTCCGTCAGTTGAAATACATATAGCCTTGGTTCACAAAATGAAATATTAAATTTGGCATATTTTGTGTTTGTTTTATACATATTCATATCACTCCAAAACAGTAGGATCAGAAGAAAATGGACAGAATAGCATACATGTCTCAATTTCTTTGTCCTATTGGCATAATACACTGACTTTGCTGCAGCATAATAGCAGTAGCAGTCGTCAGGGACATATATAGTCATCCCACCATAATGAGACCCATAAACGCACTCAGACACAAGTGCAGGGGCTATGCAGAACACACAAGAAAACACAAATAATCAAAAATCGGAATATCTCGCTGAATATCCCATTCTGAGCCGGTGGAGATTGCTCAAAAGCAGCCTGTAAAGTGAAACTGATGTAGTGGAAAAAAAACCATTAACGGGATCAAGTTGGGTCGTGAAAATGTTGTGTAGCAATTTCGTACACATCGGGCACTGTGGAAAAATTTGCCGTTAAGGGTGATGCTGCGCATGAGCATGTGCAGACGTGCGAGGAAGAAAAGGACAGGTGGTACAGATCGGTTCAGAAGCACAACCAGATGATGTTATTAAACGGACGCCAGTCAAACATTACAAACGACGTGGAAATAGTGATAGAAATACGTCTCATCCAGCTATTTTTATACAAATGAAGAAGATTCTTGCAATTAGGCAAAATATCGCGATCATGTAATAATTGTAACATGCCTAAATACAATCAATATTAAAGTTTGTTTTTTATGTTTATATGTAGGGCTGCAGCGATTAGTCAATGACGTCGACGCTGAAAATGCGTCGACATCAATGTTTTAAATCGACGCATCGTTTTTTTTTTTAAATTATTGTTATAATTTTTTTTATTTACAATATGCTTCAGTCCGTTTTAATAAAAATTTCCTTTAATATCACTATATAATTATGAGAGTACTTAAAATCACACAATATTGGAATTTCAATTGTATTCTTAGAAAGAAAATTAATCGATTAGATTAATCGAGAAATCGGCAAAATAGTCGATTGATTAATCGGGAGAAAACGAGTTATTTATATGAAATATTATATAACGTTTTAAAATGTTATATGAATAGGAACTGATAAAATTGTACAGAAATTCACTTACACAACCGTTCCCTTAATCTATTCACTTTTATGCATGTAGTTTTTATTCAGAATAAGCAGTTTTTCTTTCCACCACACAATTTTCACATAGAAACATTCGTGAATTCAGAAATATATCCATTTATTTGGACCTATCACTTACAATCATTGCAGGACGTCATTGGATACGTTAATGATTTCCACAAAGCTTTAAAAAATTAAATCTGCATCGCGCCTGAAAATGAACAAAATTCAGTACATCTGCAGAGCACGCAGACTAGCCTTGTATCATTTACAAGCAGAATAAGCACAAGTCACAACAATCCTGTGGATAGCATAACTGTATGACAGTTCTTTCAGATGACAGCATTACTCGTTCCTGTTAAGAACAGTGCAAAATGCTTATTCCCATTGCATTTCTATATTTGATATATCATTCAGAACATACGTGACATAATTAAATTATGCAGATTTGCTTTAAAGTTCACACACCGAACCAGACTACATTTAAACTACATTGACAGTATTTAATTATTACATGGAAGGCATTATGAACCTTAAACTGTTTGCTGCAAGTTGCAGCCTGCGACCTCCTAATGTAACCAAATTGAAATGTAATAAATGGAATTACGCCGACAGCAGGTCATGCCTTTTCTGTATCATCGGAAGACACGTGTTCCCGCAGATGAAAACCTCGCTTGACTTTCAGATATAAATATCCGCACATGGTGCAGCGCAAGCTGAAAATACAATAAGTGCATTTCCACGCGCCGTTAATTTTTTTAAATAAATCGTTGCATTATTGACACCGGGACGAATCAAACCGAATAGGAAGGGGTGGGCTGGGGGTGGTGAGACATGAGTCAATGTGCTTATCTGGACAAATGAGTCGTTCAGCCCCCTCTAAGTATTTTTAGCACATAGTCTCACAGACAGAGACCCGGCCGCAAAATCGGGGACAACCCAGGGGTACGGCTCAGCAGGGGCGGCTAGCAGCTACTCACTGCAGCTCCAAGCTGGAGATGTCCACGTCGGCCGCTCTGCGGTGCTTCTTGCTCTTCTTTTTGTGCTTCTTGCCGTATTTGCTCTGCGGGTTGTGATTGCCGCTGGGGACTGAGGGCGATCACAGCACACAGTACAGTCAGACGCACAGATCGCTACCCAGCTTAGCAAACCGTTACAAGTCTCACTCCTAGCATTATGCCCCACCGTTGTTGAAATGTAAAAAATGTGAAAAGTTTAGCCTTGCTCTCTGAGTTACTTAGTAGACGCGTGGTTAGAATGTCGTTAATCATGTATAACTTCTCAACGACATACATTTTGAATAATGACAAAAGTGTTAGCTAGCTGGGAACACACTCAAGCTCGGTGTCCGCACACTCAGGTAGCATTAGCAAAGACGAGCAAACCGGCTGTGCGAAAAATGACATAACACAGAAAAGTACATCCTCTCTTTACTTTACATTAACATTGCCGTTACGCGACCACACCTGAATAGTCTAACTAGTACTGGGTAAGAAAAACGCATGTTTTTGCGTGTTTAAAACTCTCACCGTTCATTGATATCATCAGGACAGCTGTCACCACACACACACTGGGCTGTATTTAGAGAAGCGCATGCGCAGTGACGAGTTTAGCGCAGCTGGGTTTTCCGTAGGATCACGACCGCTGAGCAAGTATACTTATGTGTTTGTGCTGAAGACAAATGACTTTCTAAACAATACCATCGTCCTGGCCAACCCAGTCATTTACTGGCCACACCGCAGATTCATCTGCATGCCCCTCTCACGCAAATCTCAGAACCAATGGTTTACAAGATATGTCAAGCATGTGGGAGCCACAATCTTGGAAGTTCCCTAATGCCTGCAGATTTTTACCAACCCTAGATTTTCCAAAGGTCACAGTTAATCCCATTTCACAGTATACCTTAAAAATACACCACAAACATAAGCTAAATTACACATTAAGATTGTAGTTGGTTAAACAGAAAACTTGCTGACAATGTCTCAGTGCAGTATTTTGCAAGAATCCATAACCAATATTTTTAACAATTATTTAAAAATGAAAATATAATTGGGAACATTGTAATACACAGTAAATAATGACGACATGAAATCCAATGTTAAATAACTTTATTTTCCGAATAAAAATCCTTCAGTTACTCATTTTGGCTTCCAATATTTCTTCAAATGATATATCCAGTATCGTAGTCCAATGTAAGAACAATTTCTCTTCATCATATTTACAGGCACATGTACACGATTAGCAAACTATACACATTACAAATAAAAAAAAAAGGCTAGGTTTACTAAATCAAATTTGTTTTCCATTTTCCCCCAAACACTTTCTCAAGAATGAGTTATTTGCAAAAATGAAAGAAGCAATTTCAAAACACCCTGTTTTTCATCTAACATTTATCATTTAAATAAGCTGAGGAAACAGATGCCACGGTACTGTACATCTTAATCAAGAATGTGGTAAAGGAAGAAAGAAATGCAGGAAAAAGGGAGCACACTGAAAAAAACACCAGAGATATGGAGTTTAAGTTACCAATCTGTATCTCCTAGGGGAAGAACAAGATCACAAGCTGAGGCTCATTTTGTGCCAATGCCACTGCTTTCTCACATATGTCCTGGCACATGCGTGTGCGTACACGCACGCACGCGCACACACACACACACACACACACACACAAGCATGCACACACACAGACACACCCCAAGCTAAACAGCCATGAAGGTAAATTTAAACATACCAGTAGTTCACACAGTCATTAAGCCAGTCTAATCACAAACATGCAATGGGGGGAAAAAATAACCTCACACTATTCAAGATTACATCAATAAGCCGGAGAAGCTGGCAAAACGAAGCAGGCAAAAGATGCGATGCACATTTCATCCCGCAGAACACAGCAATGCCATGATTGTTGATTGGTTCTTTTTTATTCAGTAACCATCATGTTCCCACGAGTCGCCCAGGCGGAACACAGCATCAAGCTAAAATAAATACATAAATAATTAAACTATAAATGTGCAGACCTGTCGCTGGTAAGCAGTCAACACAGGCTCATGGACGCATTCTCCTTCCCCGCATTAATCCTGGAGTCTACTTTACACTAACTCCAGCCTTACCCACTGCTTGGAAGCGTATACACACCTGGGCCCGAAAAAAAAAATGCTGTATACAAAGTGCTGAGGGGATAAAAGCAAATTAAAAACAAATTAAAACCATTCAATTCAGATTCCAGTCTACCAATCAAGCTTAAATCACTGTGTACACCAAGAATGCCATACACTGTACCACAGGAAGCCATGGCAAAGAGCCACATGATTGTGAGAAGATTACCATTTTTAACAGATTACCATTTTTATTTATAAGCAGATGAGGGATCTGATCAAGTGCAGGACTATTATAACAGCAAAACTACTGAGCAAGGTAACCATTTACTGACCACAAAACACCCAGCACAACACTGGAAAAAACTGCAGCCACTTCCAATCAGCTTATCTTACTACAGTTGTAAGATATAAACAAATAATTCAAAAGACAGTCATTCGCAACATGTCCTGTACAATTTCATAAGCAAGTAGCATATTTTCAGTTGCACGTGATTTCGAGAGAGCTCTGAAGGCACATGTGGTAATAGTGTAAAAATTAGCTATAAATAAGTTACAGTAAATAAGTTAGTTGCTATATAGCATTGGTTTGAAACAACCACTTCTAGATAGATGGTGGAACAAGCTGCTGGCTGTTACGTACCAGGCTGTCCGATAGCGAAGTTAATTGCCGTTCCCTCCTCTTCACTAGATCGCTTGTCAGCCTCTCCTAACCCCACACAACCTTCCCAACCACTGCCCCCCCCCCCAATCCATTTATTGCTTCACTGTAGTGTGAAAGTCATCCCGTTTAATTAAATTGAAAAAGCTATTTCATGAAACATATATTAATACTGTTAATTTGGCCAGATCTTGAGAAGACCTCTCTCACTCCACATACATATGGCAGGATATTTTCCGAAGAGGAGATTTCCCTGTTAAGTTAGTCTTACTCCTGTAGAACAAACAATTGTTCACTTTCGCAAAGCCACAGGCAAAACTCCCAAAGGGATTAAATATTTACATTCCACACACCCTTATATCTTGCTATCAAACAGCGTTAGTTTAAAGCAGACAGTAGATGCTCTGGCATTTACACTCAGTAACTGCCTGTGACTAGCAATCAGCAAGAGTGGATGTCACAAAAACCTCAATGCAGCTGTTTTAAGAAACCAGGCTGAGTAATGAAAGCCCTGCTCCGTGTAGCCTGAAAGAAAGCATAACCTCTCTCTTACTATTGGTTTACCTGCTGTCAAACCAGTTTTCTATTCATTCAGCTGTGCATATTTTAAACTTTAGCAATTGAGTCATTGCAACAAGGTATTTACACAAATAACTGAATTCTAAAAGTTCACTGGTTCAGTTTCATACAAAAGAAATCACGAAAATGACCAAAACAAGAATTAAAAAAACAAAACATTTTCACCTACTGTGTCAATACTGTCAGTATGAAAACATGTTTGTTGTGCCTCATTATGCATCTTACCAGCTTACTAGAACACACAAGACTATATATGTGCACATGTACACACACACCCCCTAAGACAGTTATCAGCCATTCAGTTTTCTTGTGCCATAGTTTTCTGTTGTGTATTGTAAACTACAGTCCAAATGATTATAGAAATTAATTCCCAGTTTTGACTCCAGGTCCCTTTCACTTCAAGTTCAGTAAACGATAACAACAGAACTTCCAAGGGCAGAATTTTTCAAGTTGGAATCTGGAACAGAAAGTGACAGGAGCTCCAGAGTTGGTCAGTGGTTCCTCCACTTCGGGTGTCTGGTATCTCTGAGGCATCACAGGTCAGTTGTGTTCTTTGCCTCAAGTGGCACTTAGGCCAATGCTCATTTCAAAGCGACCCATAGCAGAGTCACAGGTCAGTAACCTTGTTCTCCACCAGAGCAGCGACCTGCTGCAGGCGATAGGCCAGCTGCATCTTCTGACCTGCAGGATCCTCTTCCAGAGACATGATAATCTGTGCACAGACATATATGCAAAAAACACCCATATTACTCTTCCATGTATTCAGCCATGGCAACTTTCACTGGTGATGCACAACAAACAAGCTCATTATGAAGCTGTGAGCTACTGACCTGATCGTAGTACTTGTTGATGTATTTGTAGAGCTCGTGCAGTGCCAGCAAGCCATTCATCTCTGACGCAAAGCTCTAAAATAGAAACATCACAAAGTACTATATAAAGTTATCACTGGTGATTTGCTACGTGGAGTTTGGATGGCAAATCAGCCGTATGAAACCTGCGGCTCCTGACAGTTCTGGCAGCATGATTCCACTGCTACTAGAAATAACTAATTGTACTTAAATTGAGTCATGAATGGCATCCTAAATCTACCCTGCAAAAAAATAATAAAATTAAAATGGTAACACTTTACTTAAAGCACCCATACATAATGTATTATAGATACAATTCATAAAGTATTATAAACACCGCTATTACTATTTATAAAAAGGCATAACACATTACAGGCATGTTTATTATGCATTATGAATGCTTTATGAAACTCATCTATAATAAATTATAAATACCTTCATAATGCAGTACAAAGCATCCTTAATTTACAACAACCCTTATAATTCATTTTGAAGGTATCTATGGTGCATTATAGGTGAGAGCTTCATAGAGTATTCATCATGCATAATAAACAAGGATATGATGTGTATTGCCTTTTAATAAATAGTTATAGCCATGTTTATATTTTACAAATGCATTATGAATTATCTATAATTCATTATTATGACTGCTTTAAGTGTTACCAGTAAAACTTTGCACTTTCTATGAAGCACCCTTTTATAACACAACATGCATACCTACTTAATACATTATAATGCATTCATAAAGTATTTTAAACACATGTAAATATTTATATAAAGGCATAACACAATACAGACATGAATATTATGCAGCATGGATGCTCTATGAAGCTCCCATCTATAATGTACTATAAATACCTGCATAGTGCATTATAATGGTCAGTATTAGAATTAAGGATGCTTTGTATTGCATTATGAAGGTATTTATAGTGCATTATAGATGAGAGCTTCATAATAAATATGGCTGTAATGTGATATGCCCTTTTATAGATATATATAGCCGTGTTTATAATACTTTATGATTGCATTACAATGCATTATGAAGGTATCTACAATGCATTATGCTGACTGCTTTAAGTGTTACCCTTTGTTCTATAGAAAATGAGGTAATAAAGGTGAACCCTGTTCAAGGAGCATTGATTTTTTTCTTTTTAATTAATAAAATTAATATTTTTAAAAAATAAAACTTGTGGTTTAAACTACTTTAAAAAAATCCAGGAGTTGGAAAGTTCAGGTCCAGAAAGTACAAATCCAGACCAAGATTTTGTTTCAACCAATCAGTTGAGTATATAGAGTCACAGCCACAGAGTACTTACCTGGTTGGTTGAAACAAAATCTTGGTCTGGATATGTACTTTCTGAACCTGAACTTTCCATCTATGCCAAAGTCTACACATAATTACTAGCCACTGACTATGACCCTTAACCCTAC